AGACCCAGACGGGACGCACCACGAATCAATTATAACGTTCACGAGTCTGAGGATGAGGACCCCGCCATCAGCAAACACTACTTAGTGGGAAAGTACGGCACCAATCTTGGAGAGATTTGGGCGGCTCTAGCTACTGTTACTGCCTACAAGCATAAGGCAGCTGAACCTACCAGTACCAACACGACAAGCTTGAGCAACCAGGGCTCCCCCCCGCCCCCTCGCAAGAGACCCAGACGGGACGCGCCACCAGTCAATTACAACGTCCACGACTCTGATGAGTCTGCCTCAAGCAACGGTCACGAAAGCAACCAAGGGGCCGAATATATGGAACAAGTAGCGACCAAAGACCTCCCGCCTGATGAAGATAGCGTTGTGCTTCTCATCACGCGCGTTTTAAACCTCCTCAGGTACTGTACCCAGCCGTTCGGGTCCCAGCCAGTTGTCGACTTCCGCACTGAACGCCAAACAATGAGACTTGCGATTCCCGGTGTTGACGGACCCATTGTGGCCATTGACGATGGCGGTCTGACTCCGGCTCAAGCCGCGAAGGTAGCCAAGCCAGCGAGTTTATGGAACAAGTGACAGCAAGAAAACGTGAGACCTTTACCCTAACGGACGAAGAGACTTGACTAAATTACCATAAACTTAGGGCGCGTTTTGACGAGTTTAGACTAACAATCTTCCTAAGCTTAGACGATTTACTCACCCAAGACCAGGATGTCAGCTAGAAACTTCGAAACCGTCACATCTGCAAGTGCGCTTGACAGCAAGATGAAGACAGAGCGAAGAAACAATGGAGCGCTTTCCGTCGAAGATCTCAAAGCTTCTGGCCACAACTGGGGCCGTCACCAGCTGTTGACCTGTCGGGTCACCGTCTCGGCGACAGCACAAAATGTGCTCCCACATACGAAAAGCACATACTGCGTACTGAAGGCTTCGAAGCCTAAGAAATCAAGGACTTTCTTGACGGATCTGACCTTGTCTTGATGCATCGTAGCACTCACTTCCCGATTTCCGAGTATGGCTTTTCTCTCGGTGAGATATGGGCTGTTCTGGCAACCGTCAATAACTGCCCTCGTCCGTGTGTAGCTGTTGGTAATGAGGGGACCCAGAAGGAAAAAGAGTTGGACGAAATACGTTCCGCCCAGAGCATGTCTACCCAGTCAGCTTCTAAATCTCATCAAGCAATCCTATAACCATGGTGACTCGCCGGGCCGCGGTGGATCTGGTCCTAAGCTACGCCGCCCACAACTTGGTTCGCCGTGATGCAGTGAGGTAGATAAGTACAGCGGCTTCTCATTCCATGGCTCCCGTCAGCCTCGGGGTCAGAGGAAAAGTTAGTTCCGCTCCGCCCCCGCCGAACTTATGACGCGGGTTATCTTTGTGGTTAACTGCCGCCTATAAGGTTAAGCTTTAGGCTGTGAACATAGGCAACGAATAAGAACACAATATTGGTTTCCCGATCAGCTTTTATCCAGAACTTTTCACGATGACTAATAAATCCTATCACAAGCCCTGAGGAAGAGACCAAGAGGCATCCTCAGTCGGAAGTGCCAAACAAAAACATTATCGTCAACAACATTGGTTCATTCCGCTTTCATTGATGCGCGCGCGCGATGGACCAACAGACACCCATAACAAAGTCTCTGCATAGACTTTGCGTCGAGAACCCGCGCTTCCTTGTTCACCCTCTTTGCTGGACCTCAGAGCACCTTCGAGTCCTGCACTGCCATTTCAAGCACCTCGACTCCTCTAGTGCACCTCCGCCATTCCCACTACCGCCAGCACCTCCGCCCGCCAGCCATGGTGGACCAGACCTCACAGAGGATCTTATCCACTCGATGTTGAATGGCCCATATACCGACACCAAGTTCGCCTCCTTCACCTTGCTAATGTATCCTCTTGGCGTGATCCCCTTCCGACGTGAAACTCCCTTCTTCTACAACCAACTCCAGGTCCATACCCCCAAGTGCGAGGTTTACAGAACGGACAACGTACAAAAACTTGAGCAGCAGCCGATCATTGGATACTTTCAATACGATGAACTCATCAAGGAGCGAGAACGAGCCCTCGTGCCTAGAAGCCATCCCGTTCCTGGCGCCTCGAATCTTCCCGTTGAGAGACTCTCCCAGCGCCGATTGCACGACTTGACTCCCGCGCGGTGGTTTGAGGACCCGTACTTGGTCTGCGTTCTACTCTCCCTTGCTCAGCTACAACGGCAGAAGCGGAAGAGCATGACAGAAGCCTTTTTTGTACGCCAGACCCCATCCCCACGTTATTCTTTCCACTAACAATCAATCCCCCAGGTCCGATTGTTCGTAACCAACGCCTCCGACACGACGCACGCGCACATCTTCCAAGCCGACATCCCCTTCCAAATCCTCCAGGCGCTCGACAACCCAACCGAAGACATGGACAACCTAGTCTGGCCGGCAATACAACACATCGAAGTCCTATTCGAACCGCACGCAAGTTTCTCAGAGCGAGTCGCAGGACAACTGCTCGCTGGTCTCCAGACACGGGCGCCGGAGGAGACACCGCGCGGAGAGAAGCGCAAGCGCGATGAGATGGATACCAAGGAGGAGACAAAGAGTGTCAAGGCCTGGCAGGATGCTTATGTCAAGGCGTGGAATGATGGCATATGCCGCTGGATAATGGCTGATGGAGCGGAGACCCACGGTGATTGACCTTGGTATTCTCACATAGCTTTCTGGACAACTCTCCGACAGCCAATACAACCGCCGGTGTTGCTTACGAATGATGACACAGCCCGACCGACACAGAGCCAGGCACTACGAACACACCAGAGCATGGAAACATAATCTGTATATGGCAGCAGTATGTTCATCACCCCACAGATCACATACGTATCCAAACTGACCAATCTGCAGGCACATGCAACGCATCCATTCATATCACCACTCAGTCTACATTGCTACATATCCTCATCCGCAACCAGAACTCCGCCATCTCATGCAATGCGCGTCATTGTGGGCTTGACGGGAATATTTGTAGTAGCACATTGATAGGGACTAGTAATCTGCATGCATATCATGCTACGCCCAAATTGACATGAGATGATCGCACGCTCACTGAGTTGATATTTCGTGACGTAAAGCAGTGGTGATTTGTGCTCCATCCAGCGAAGGACGCACCCAACTACGCCACTGGTTTGGCCCTGTTGTTCACAGAATCCACCTTGAAAAAGACAGTGTCTCAACCCAGCACCAGAAGGTCGTTTTCAGTGTCAACAAGCACCAGTGTCGTGGCATGTCTTGACCTTTACTATCCCGTTCCGACCAAGCATGTTATGCTCACCATTCTACCCTCAAGATCACAGTGTATGGCATTGTCCAGGCCGAGGATCAGCTGAGTCTCCAATCTCGAAGTCTTGGTGCATTTTCTGCAAGCCAGCATCGGACGTGGATCTTTGTTGGAGCTGACCATGGAGAAGCTTGGGAGGCAATACACCAAGTTCATTTGCATGGTTCTTCTGTACAAGGGGCCATCGTAACACTGGGAAGCTCAGTTAGTCGTTCCAGTGAGTTCTTTGGCTTTCTGCTGTATTGAAACCGTATCATTCAGTGTGCAAGAGATGAGAAAGCTCGAGGCCTTGATCTCTGGCCTGGTTTATTCCCCACAGAGTGCAGTCTCTGGAGCTCTGTGCGGAAGTGAATTATTCACGTGACGACTCGTGAAGTTCGTGCATGGCATGTTCATGTCTACAAAAGCCACCCATTTATCTCGGTCATGCTATTGTTGACAGGTGTAGACCGTGTATCATACATACGGCTCATGATCCCAATCCTCCATCTCCTTCGAATAGCAGATCCATAGCTTATCCTCATGCATTTGTGCCTTAAGCCACATGTCTCGCAAGCTAACGCCCTCCCACCGCGCAGCATAGAACCATGCGTTAATGGAGTAGACAGCTACTTTAACTCGGCCGTAATACTTTTCGCCGTTACTACAGACGGTCTCTTCGGTAGAGTTGTCCCAATCTGCATCATATGCCCAAACCCAATACGGATCAAGCTCCTCATTTCCAGATTCGGGAGCCAATTCATTGGGGATCACAATGAAGGTGTTGGGCAGAATACCCGGCGATGATAAAGACTGCCTATATTCTTGGAAGTGTCTACTTGATCATTAGCGTCCATCTGAAATATCAATGAGGCAACGTAACTTACCGTCGGAAGCCACGATCCTCATCCAAGCCTCCCTTCGAAGTTACAGGAGCCCACACCTCAGTTTGGAGGGTCATCAGGTCATCCCGTTTTCCCTGGCAATGGATACCGAAGTAGGTTGCTCGTCTGACGTCCCTGGCTAAGGACGGCTGCGAGGTGTTGTTGACCATATCCAAGAGTGAACTCCACTTACGCCCGTGTGGATGTTTGACCTCTTTCGTCTTGTAGTACACGAATCCCCAGGGCTGCTGAGCCCGAAAAATATCCTGTATCCAAGCTGGAGGCGTATGTGACGCTCGTTTCCAGGTAGCACGAACCGTTTTCTCAAGATCCTCGAGTGGCTGTGCTTTTTCCTCATCTGAAAGTCGATCAATTTCTGAGAGCATCCATTTCGCGTTCCTGCGTGCCAGCTTGACCACATCATTGCGTATATCCTCTCTAGCTCGCGCCGCAGGGGTTTCAAGCTGTTCTTCCCGGAGACGGCTCTCATAAAGTTCTTGCAGCGAACAACTATTATCCCTATCGATATAGTACAAGTCGCAGTAGACTAGCTTCCACGCATCGATTGGTATGGCGAAGTAAGAAGCCCGGTCAAAGTTGGCAATCGCTTCAAATAAACCCTCTCCATTATATATATGTGCGCCCATGATGCGTTTTACCATTTTCGTCTCATCCGGTATATAAGAAGTTCTTCCAAGGAGCGCGTTTTGCAAGAGGACACTACCATGAAACTCGGAGGGGTTGCTCAGCGCCATCTCAACAAGGTCCCTGCCAGCTAACTCCTCTTGTAGCCTCTGATTCAGCTTTTCGCGCTCAACAATACTCGCGACCCTGGAACGCTCAGATCGAGGAAGATGGAGTAGACGTTCATGGCGCTCAAGAGGATCAAGACCCAACAGGCTTTTATAGAGCTCTAAGTTAGGATCCATGGGGAGGGTGAACAATGGGAGTGCTTCTTTGGGTACGATGAGGTAGTCAAACATGAGGCGATCAATTTTATTCAGTTGACCTTGCCCCACTACGTGGATCCAAGGCTAAGCTTGCCCCAGTCCTGGGGCTAAACTCAGACAAGAAGAAAAACGCAGCCTGAAACCCCTCATAATCATCGTTAAGTTGTCTTTCACGCCTCAACGTGGCCGCGATTATGGACCCAAACCTCGAGCTTTACAGGAGTGTATTACATCTTGGGCCCAAAGATCACCGCCAACGCATACAACATCTCCCGAGAGAAGAGTTGATCAGAGTCAAGACTCTAGTTGAAAGGGAGCGATGGACCCGACGTCTTGAGGAAGCGGTCGCAGGTCGGGATCTTGTTGAGCTGGCTCTTACTAATCCTCTGGAGCTTGAGAAGAACCCACCTCTCCAAAAGGCCCTACTTGGACGAGCCTGCTATCCTGATGACGAGAACAACATGGTGAGGAGAATTACGAAAGGTCTGAGCAGGCATGGCGAGGCTCTGATCAGCACTGTCGCAAGCTTGACAGTAGTTCATATCCTGCTATGACGAAGGACGCTTGGGTCTTGGTCTATTGTGACTTGTTTTATATCAATGGTAGCAATATGACGTTGGATGAAGTGTACATGTCACGGCTTCAAGAAGAAGAGCTGCAGACCCGAAGTGAGAAGGCCAAAGAGGTCGCTCGACACAACGAAATGAAACTGGCTCGCAGGAATGCTAAGTGGATGATTCCTGCCCTCGAGCGACTCTCTGATGATGAATTGTCTCAGTCAAAGTACGACTTCAGCGACACCTTACATGAGATCTGGAAGAAGGTATCCCACCGGCCACCAACCTGGGTTCAGCATATACTCGATGCACAACAGCCGTGGGGGCTTACCTATTACAAAACAAAAGAAGTCGAAGAGATGTATGGCCATACATGGGAAGACACGTGGATCCTGATCATTGATATACCTCAGCTATCATGGCCGAGTATTCATCGTCAAGGGAGGGCGGATGAGCTTATGGCGTTGAAAACAGAAGATTGGGCTCCTATGCCGACGTATGAAGGCTTTAACGAAGAAGATGCCTTTCGCAAGTAAGTGGAGCGGAGCAGTAAGATGATAATCGTACTGATTATGCACAGACATTTCCGTGAGCACAGAAAATCTCTCTCGTCCCCTGGGATCTTGCAGCATACATTTATCGTCATTCCAATGGAGCTCATTCCTAATGATCCCGACGATGAAGAGTTGGATCCCTGTTGGGTCTGGGCATATGATGCAGATTGGGATAGGGACTCAGAAGAAACTATATATAGCGGCGAGAAATACCAAGGCCGCGTTAAAGTACCTATTGTTGCACTGGGAGGTTGGTTCTATGCCGCGCGTTGGGAGGGCGGGTCGTAGGTCTTCGAGATATGTGGCTCAAGGCGCAGAGACACCCGGACCATTTGTGGATTTGCGATTCGAAGGAACTGGAGGAGTGGGATCATAAGCCATATGTATAATGTTGTGCCGGGTCAGAGGTGGCAACGTTTAATACAAGAGACTTTTATCAACAGTTGAGCACGCTTAAGGAATGTAGCAAGCTGAGTTAGTGCTACAAGTATGAGCCTTGGATAGGTATTGTGTAAGGGCACTTGTCTTGAATGCATTCATAACTGCCAAGTCTCATAGCATGTGACAAGGTAAGAGGGACGACACTAGGAGCCAAGCAGTACGAAAGAAAGAAGTATTAATGTTCTTAGCTAGCTATGACATTCTTGTTCTTGGTTGTAAAGATCTCAGCCACTCCCTTTCCACCACAGTTGTCTCCAAGCTGACCACTACATGCTACATTGCATTCCTCCATACTAGTCGTCTTAGCTCCCGGTGTCATTTCCCTACCGCAAGTGCAGAGCTTGCCTTCCCAGACAGCAAAGAAGTCAGATTTCTTAGTCACAGTGCACAGACTTGCGCACGCATCGACAGACATCTCATCGGGAGACTCTATAGTGTCGCCACCTGTGGTACCACGTATGGCTTGCTTGCTCCACGAGTAGCAACCAAGACTCTCGTACTGAATACGTAGCATATCTTGATCGCCAAACACTTCGATAGCATCCTTTCCTCCGCAGACGTTTGTGGTGTTACCGTTACAGTGCATGTTGCATTTGGAATCGTCAATGATCTGACTATCCATACGAAGCTGATTGTCGCAGAAGCACGAGTCGCCGTTCTGGATTCCCCAGACGTCCCAGCCCCGTTGCAAACAGAAGGACTGACAAGCTACGATGGACATGGGCTTGACGTGCTGCGCGTCGGCTAGAGTCAGGACAGAGCGATTCGTCGTGTCCGCCTCGCGGGCAAAGCAACCAAAGCGTGTATACGGAGGAATGGGCTTGAGCGTTTGTGTCAAGACTTCCTTGGTTGGGCCGACACAGTAGGTTCGCCCTGGAACTAGATCCGTGGTACAGCTGCCTTCCGAAACAGAAGGATTGGACTGTATGAAGAGAGGAAGACTGATGTGATACTGGACAAGCACTCGAGCGCAGTCATCGCCCTTTTCGACTTTATACCATCGCCCACAGGCTTTGGTCGTATTGGTAGCGAGAGTAGCACCGCTGGGAGGAGGGATAGCCTTGTCAGCGTACTCAGAGTATGCAGGGTCTGAATTAGTGGTGTTGACTTCACGATCATACTCTCCGCCGGGCGGTGTAGTGCAGATGACTCTGCCGAGAACAATTGTGGCGGACTGGAGATTCCCGCAAAGCTCATGGATCCAGGGGTTCAGGAGGCGGATATCATCTTGCTGAATGCCTGCAAAATAAGCGACCGACATACACGTGTCCTTCTCCTGCAGCTTGTATGTTTTACACTGGAGCGGCATGCAAATCGACACACCCTCCACCATGTCAGCGCAATCGAGGATATCTGGGTTACCGATGAAGATTGCCGCAGAAGAGACGCTATACTTGAGTGCTAGAGAGTCACAGGTGTCTCCAGCTTTGGTCGTGTACGTGACGCCAGAAAGACAAAATCTTGGCTCAGAAGGTTCGAATGGAAAAGGAGAATCTTTGGGGGTAGTGGGTACGTTGGACAGGGAGCATCGCTTGACTGCTTTCTTGAGAGCATCCTCATAGAAAAGGTCCCTGTTGTAGTAGGAGAAGGGACTGGCTTGCATCATCTTGAGCCGGCCAACGTAGCAGTCCGAACATAGTTCGTTGGTTGGCATCTTGTCGATGGACTCAGAGAGAGTGAAGTTGTAGATGATATCTGTAGCATGTTAGGACAGTGACAGATAAACCGAGTTGTTGGAAATACTTACCGTTGCAGTACTTTCCAGTCTTCTTGTCTGTTTGACAAGTCTCGTTGATACCCTGTGAGACGAAAGATCCCAAGACACCTGCAGCAGCACCATTATGCCATGTTGCATTACCGCAGTAGGTGTCAACAGCTGATCGCCAGTCCGAGATGGAGCGTGCACAGCCCTCGTCGCAAACAGACTCGATATCAACATCCCTTGGGAGAATTCCATGATATGAAGGTAATGTCCATTCTTCTGTATGGTTGTCGCATCGGACAAGAGCAGTAAGCGCATTCTGACAGGCCTCAGGGAATCTGTCAATGTCAAGCGCGTTCTCGGTGTGAATCCTATAGCCCGCGAAGTTGCGCTGTCCAGTGATGTTCTTCGAACCCCCAAGCCAAGCCAGGATCGAAGAAGCAAACCCGTTTCTGTTTGGCTTGCCCAGCGTGGGAACCCCGTTGAGAGGGCTGACCATCTGGATACTGCCGAGCGTGACGAGATTCTGAACCCAGACATCATAGCTCTGCTCTGTGTAGAAGATCTTGTCCTGGCAGTCGTGCCTCCCAGAGTTGAGACACGTCTGATCGTAACGGTTAAAGAAGGAGTAAAGACCGGCACTCAGAACGTGCACTGCCGACGAGTCGATGATACGTAAAGCCCAGGCCATAGCGCAAGACTTGGAGGTCTTGGTGCAGTTGTGGAACTCAGGATCATTGAGGAAAGCACCTGGCTTAAAAGGTGCTGGGGCTTCTGGAAAAGACTGGAAGTAGGGAGTTTCGGTCTGGATAAGACCCATGACGACGTTTTGAGCACCAGATAGTTGGTATTGGTACAGCACGCAGTGTTCAACTGATGTACCCCAGAGCCATGTCGGGCCCTTACTCTCGATGAGCATGCCTCGACCAACGTAGATGTCAACTTGGGTCTGGTCAGCAGTGTCGAAGTCGTGATCTGCAGTCCACATCCAGACGTTCTCGAAGTAACCGGAAGAGTCGGTGGTCAGGTGAAGCATAAGGGACGCGGCGACGCAGTTCGGATTGACCTTGCCAGATAGCTTGGGACAGTCCTTGACGGTGAGATCTGTACCCGCGGCGCCTCCAACTCTGAAGTGGGTATCTAGAACGAAGTATTAGTCAAGATGATCGAGAACTCCATCGTGAGAAAGGAAACATACCCCATAGACCAGCCGAGCCTTGGCCAGACTCGTGTACATTCCACTCCATCATGATGGCACCGGCCGTAGCTCCCTTAACAGTCATCATCATGTTTTGGATCTCAACAACACCAACTTGGCCTGGAAGACCAACACGAACTGCAACGCGAGGCTTAAGGGGGTCTGCAAACTTGGTCCCAGTAGCCATGATCTGAGGCCAAGCCTGCCCGATAACTCGCGAACCAACAGGAATTTCAACAGTGTCTGTGATGATATATACACCAAATGGAACATATACAATCGCAGACATGTTGGCGGCAGCCGAAAAGAGGTGTTTCAGAACAGCCGTGTCATCTGTCTTGCCGTCACCCTTGGCACCGTACGCCTTCGCATCAAGGATCTGACTGAAGCCCAGGTCATCATACTTTGGACGGCGACGAGTGAAGAACTGCCTTCGTCCGCCAGTGACCAGGGAATCGTTTCTCACTGGGCTGTCGAGATTGGCGCCATTGTGGAAGGCCGTCGTTCCGTTGGCGCTGGTGACCCTACCGAAACCCCAAGTATCGACGTTGACTGTTCCCTTACCGCCCCGAAGAAGAACCTGGCTCTTGAAAGTGTCTTGGACGATGGTGTCAACGTTGTAGAAGCCCGAATTACTGAGTAGCAAAGCGGTGGAGTTGTCGGACATGACAGAGGTTGACACTGCGACCTTGACGTAGTGGAAGCGTAGGTCGGTTAGGTGAAGGGAGCCGATGCCTTGGCCAGTACTCATAGGCTGGAGACTGTTAGTTTTTGTCTTTCTAAGAGTGAAGGAACAGGTGAGAGTTTACCCCTCCTGCGCCACCAACAATGGTCAGACCAGTGTTGCAGTTGTCAACGACAATGTTCTGCATGGTCCATCCCCAATCCCAGTGGATCTGTATAGCCGTCTCGGCCTCTTCGAAGTAAAGGCCATTTTGCGAAAACACAAGAGACGAGACCAAGCCGCACTTCACGAATTGCATATGCTCGGACGACTACTACATGGGCCGCAATGATACTGTCACGACGGGTACATGCAACAGTAATTGTCCTAAAGGCATGGTCAAGGTGACTCTGCAATCCGAGAATAACAACTGCAACAAGGGTACTTCGGCCTACTGTTGCGACATCACAGCCTCTTACGATTTCACTGATATCAAAGATGATGATCTTGAGGTGTCGTTCAAGGAATGGGCTAAGGAACCGACATGTCCCAATCTGGGTCCTCTCGCCGGGGAGAAGTTCTCATCGCGCTCCATGGATAACGTGGCTTTTGATGTTGGTGAGCAATTGTCTGAACTGGTCGAGCGCGACGATGCTCTTGTGGCCGTACCTTCTGCAATTACCATTGTACTGGCATTCCAGAGGATTATGACATCTCCACCAGGCTCTCGCAACACCAGGGATCTCCAGGACCTGGTCAAAACGTATATCACCCCGAAGTGGGCACATATCACTGTGGCCTATATCGCGGGACTGTTGTGGGAGATCAGAGACGATGTCAAGACGACACTGATAGCAGCCTGGAACTTCATCTGCAATATTGATGCAGAGGAGAAAGAAGCAAAACGGGTTGCAAACCTCCCATCTAGCCACAGGTTCTGTCACATACCGTCACTCAACACTTACGATCCAGGATCATTGGAAGATCCTCGCGGCAAGTCAATTGCCACGGAGATATTTAGTCCTATTGGCCCTATTGGCGGTCCTGGTGACTTGAAGTTTCCGTTCAACGAGATGAAATGGTCAACAGAATGGGTGAAGGACGACGCGCTTGAGAAGAGGGCGAAAACATAATGTTCTCCGCGTCCTTTCACAGTTGAATGCCGAGGTGGGAGCCCCAAATGGGTCATAAAATCCATGTCATATCCTAGTGGAGATAATGGAGATCACTTGGCAGAGAAAAACGGCGACGACAAGAAGTATTATGTCGACAACCTGGGTAGTTGTGTTTCTGCTATCGTGATGGACAACGGCCATAATAAGGATGGGAACAAATATATTTGTGAGTAACAACAGCTCGACCCCCGCCTCATTTCTTTTACCTTACTGACTGCAAACAGCTGAGCACATTTTGGAACTTCAGTCGGTGCCCATGTTTATGGAATACACGATGGGCGTCCAAAAGAGACTGCAAACCAAACTCAGCCGTTCTCGTCTTCCCATCAATGCCCCATTCAACCCAGATTCCTCGAGGCTTCTTCCTTGCGCCTTCTGGGTCAATGATTTCCAGTATGGTTTCGCAGAGTGGGACAAAAAATATGGGAAGACTACCCCAACGGCCGCCTTATTCACATTGCTCGGCTCAACAAAGAACAGTGGGCATATGGTAAATACCGAATCCAAGTTCAACGGGAAGAAAGGCGCGGTATGTTTCCCTTTCCGCTCTTCTACCTGGCCGCTGCCTATGTCACATTCTCTCTAATCATCACTAGCTTTGGGAATTTAAAGAGCCTGTCGGGGCGTCGACCTGGAATGATCTATATGCTGCCGTGGACGACACGACAGTCTTACACGCTTTTGAGCAGTTGATACTGGTATGTAGAGTTCCCCGTCTATCGCAGAGTTCGACAGGTTTCATACTAATGATCTCACCAGGTTGAACAAGTCTTTCCTTATCTCGCAAAGCCAGGGATACAGGATAAGCTCCTCGGTGCCCATCAAGATGTGATTGCTTTTCTGGACGAGTACGAGGAGCTGTATCGAAAACAACATCCCACGACTGCTCATATAGGTCTTTCGGACATGTGGCGTAACTTCATGACCGAATTGCTTGCTAAGATGAAGGAATGGGCTGAAGCATGGCTTGAGTATCGAATAGACATAATGGTGCCCGCCTGGACGGCTGAGCACGCACGAAGGGAGGCGGTGGCGCGAGCATACACAGCGGCGGGTAATCCACTCGCTGCGGCCGCGGAAGTGGCCGCCAAGGCAGCATTAAAATCCCGTACGGATGCCGAGAAGCACTTGCTGCAATACTCTAGTTTTGTTGCAACCTTCGACCACAACCTCTTTCAGACAACACCCGACCGAGATGCTTAGAATTCGTTAAGCAAATATATAGAGATCATAGCATTGCAAAAGTGGAGGGAGCGTGAAAATGACGAAAATTCGATCAATAGAGTCATTGACCTTTTTTTATGCATTGATTGGCCCACATCTACACTCCCTACAGTGGAGTTTAGTTGTTCGCTACCTAATAAAAGGAAAAAACGTACTCGCGTAATTCCCTCACAATTTTTAGCCCCTCCCTCCACAACCAAGCCTCATCATCACCAGTCCGACTTGACTCACCGACCTCACGATGGACCCAAATTTGGAGCTCTATAGGAGTGCCTTAGATCTGCCGCTATCGGAGCGAAAAGAACGCTTGCGGCATCTTTCACAGGCGGAACGGGCGAGGGTTTGGATGATTGTCGACAGGGAGAAAAAGCTGCAGAGCCTGGAAGAGCTCATCGCAGGGCGGGATCTCGTTCAGGTCGCCTTAAATAACCCGTCAGAGATCATATCAAATATGCGATTGGAATATACCCTCCTTGGCCGAAGCATTTACCCCTATGACGAGAATATGATGGTCAAACGCGTCACCAACGACGTTGCAGGAACCAGTCAGAGCTTCATCGACTATGTTGCGGATTTCGATCAAGGTGCTCGGCCTCTCCCCCTGGATGCCTGGAAGTTAGTCTACTGCGACTTGTATTTTGTCGATGGGGGCAGTGCTACACTACAGGAGATCTACGAGGCACGTCTTCGCGAAGAGGAGCTACAAACTCCTGCCGCCCGAGCCAGAGACCTTGTACGGAATAATTCGCTCAAGAAAGCTCGGAGAAACTCCAAATGGATGATTCCGGCCATCGAAGGCCTTCCGGCTGAGGATCAATGCCAATGGACACTGCAGGACGTTATATCCGTACAAGAACTCCTGAGACAGGGAAAACACGAGGAAGCTATGGGTCCGCTTTCGAGACAGCATGAATATAAGCAGACTCTGGCAAGACTCTGGAAACAGGTGTCTCCTGCGCCACCAGCTTGGATGAAGCATATCCTCGAGACCCGTCAAAAATGGGGGTTTGTCCATTATTTATCCAGACAGGTTAACCAGAAACATGGCTCTAACTGGGAACCACTTTGGAGCGACATTCAATTAACCTGGACGAACACTTATGGCGGGAGAGATATGGCAGATGCAACTTGGATGGCCATCCATTGCCAAGGTGAAGAAAACCGAAAGGTGTTGGAGCCGCTCCTGACTGAGGATTGGCCTACGTTTCGACCTTCGCCAGAATTACCTGAAGACGACGACTTGAGAACGTAAGTTGAACAGTTGAGTCCCTTCGAATAAAAATACTAAATTATGTTGCAGACACTTTAAACAATATGTACGGGAGAAAGACCATCTCCTGTCGCCGGGAATTCTACGAAATACCTTCATCGTGATTCCTATTGAACTGATCCCCAAACCGTCTGAGGATGGCGATTTCACGACGAGCGAGAATCTTGATCCTTACTGGGTTTGGGCATATGATGCCGACTGGGATAGCTCAGATGAAGCAACTGTCGTCGATGGGGAGACGTACCAGGGACGCGTCAAGGTGGCAAAATGGTCAATCAGCTCGTGGTTCTACGCTGCTCGGTGGGAGGGAGTGAGTCTTCGGGATATGTGGCTCAAGGCGCAGAAGCACCCAGAAAAGTTGTGGATCTGTTATATCAAGAACCTGGAGGAATGGGATCACGAGCCATATGTTTAGCTTCGAGCTCGGGAGGACCGGATCTTGATCATGCTTAAGCTATTACTTGGGCAGTGAGCTGGGCATAGCTAAGCACTCGCAGATTCTGGCACAATACGGTGGTTGAAACCCTCGTAATGCTACTTACGTGGCTTGGGAAAGCTATTTCTATAAAATAATATCTTTTCAGGGAATTGAAGCAGGTCAAAAAATACCCTAGGGCATATGAGAAAATTCTGGTGTGCTTTGTCGGCATTCCGTTGGTGCAGTCATGATAAAAAGACTGGATTAGTTACAGCAAATGCGCAATCAAATAAAGATTTTTGATTCTGTCTCCTGATAGACCTTAAATTTATTGCTGATCGACGATTCTAGATTCGTCATGCTACGGTTTAACGGAAAAATACCCTGTACTTAATCGATTTGTGAGCCATATCGTTATCAGCCACGTGATCCGTCACGCGCTTCACGTGCGGAGCTGTAACCTTGAAAACTCGGATGAATTCTACTAGCTGCCGCTCTTGACCACTTGCAATAAAGGAGCATCAAGAACCAGGATGGTAAGAAAATCCTTTGTGATGGTGAGGATAGAGTGAAGCTAATCGCAATTAACAGGAGGTTCAACCATTTAACCAGGAAGCCTTCGACGCAGCCGCGATAGAGGAGAGCACTGATGAAATCAAGGGCATCGGTCAAACCATCCACTGGAGGAATTGTGATCGTGGATTCCAAAAGAAATGCCAAGGCGGCGTATGGCTGGGCATGCCTAAGGAGGGAGGGTGGGTGAAGGTCGACCCGGGCTTTTCTGTTTACTTTGTGAGGGGCTCCAAGGGCGAGGTCCGGACGGCGGATGCGGCATAAGCTGCATTGATGAAGAAGTGGGTTTGTGAGGCCTTCACTCGTTGGATCTTATGGTTTTTATCCAAGTTTCAATTCACCCGCGTGAAATATTCAAGAGTAACCACTGATTTCATGGGTTATGATGTCAGTCCCTTGATGTAGGTGGACCTCCAGATGATGCGATGAGAAGCATACAGATTGATCGCAGGGAGATGAGAGGCGTAACGCAACAGTAGGATTTCTGGGAAGCTTTGCGCAGGGACTTGATCCACAAGGAATCGTAATGCAAATGAAGCAACGATGGGAGTCCAACACCTCGAGCACATAGCGTCGACCTTTTGACAGGAGGCGCTGCTCGCAAACCAGGTGCTGGATGATCCCTTGAGGGCTTCTCGCGCTTTTGTTCTACACTTCCAAGGTATTGTTATTGGTACTTGAGACCTTCGCGTTGAGGGAGCGATTGGAGGGGAGGAAGAGCGGAAGGGAGATGTATCAGGAAAGAGGATGACATCTTCGTGGTGTCGTGAGGTCTCTCTGAGGTTTAGATGTGTTTCGGTAGGGGATACTGTTTAAGCATCAGAGGTCAGTCATGTTCGCAGTTGTCAGAAGGAAAAGGAAGACGGCTGGCCCATGTAGAGGTTCCAGTGAACACACTGATTCTTTGTTCAGTATCAGGGTGTTTGTTCTGCAGCTTCTCAGCTGCGAGAGGGCCGGCTTGTTCATTCTTGACATCATCGTGTTCTTACCTCTAGCGACACACCATAATCGGTTCTCGAGTACATCACAAAACGATGGCCGAACAAAACGAAGTGAAACCCTGGGCTTGTTGGTTGAGACCTGTGGTGCTTTGTCGAAGTGACGCAGCCATCTCCGAAGGAAGAGTATGTTTGGAGGCTCAAGTCTTCGCCGGAGAGTGCATTAGCTTAAGTTGCATCCTCTTCCGCACACACTAGAACCTCTGTGAAGAGTACTGCCCAGGTAGTCGGTGACTACAGTACTCAACTTCAGGTAAGGGGCCTACTGAAGTTGATACCAGGTCCTGGCAGTGTCAAAGCTCGCTAAGCAATCCAATCTGGCCCTGGCAGTGTCAGCCAGAATGCCCAAATACTCAGACCCCACAGCCCTCAACCAATGTTTTACATTTCCTCTTCTTCCAACATTCAAACTCAAATCCTCCATCCTTTACATCAAACAACACAATCCAACTACATAAAACCTTCACACCACAACAAACTTTCAACGCTTGAGATCATGTCCGTCGATCTGCCAGCTGATCGCCTCGAGCTTGACGCCCTTCGTGACAAGGTCGCCATCATTTCTGACGAGAACAAATATCTCAACGAGCAAAATGACAACCTTATCGAAAACAATGGCCACCTCGCCATTGATAACGACGAATTGAAGAAGAAGCTCGCCTTGGCAGAGGAGCGGGCGGAGAAATACTTCGACTTCTGGCGCTCCGCGGAGGAGGAACTTACGAAGCAGTTGGAGCTCAATGAGGAGCTCAAGCAACAGCTTGAGGCCGCTAAGGCGGGGGAACCTGAAGCCAAAGAAAGCTCCAACTAGAGCCAGTGGTCTTCCCTACCACAGTAAGTCACTACTTGATTCGCTGGACGTTGATGACTTGTCTGCTAATATTTTCCCAGGACGCCCAAATGATCGCGAAATACCAGCCATGATTCAACAAGCACTACCACTACTATACAGACAAGCACCTTAAGGGGGCAGAACTTATTTTTCCGGTCGCATGGGAAGGTTACCAGGGCGAGATAAAGATTGTTGGCAACATGGAAGGTTCTCTAAACAGTCTCTTAATCACAAGTGGTCTCCTGTGGTTCTGAATAAATCAGTTTTGAAGCCAGACAAAAGTTCCTCGTGAAATTGTGAGGTCTTGTTCGTAGTTGCAACCTCTTGAATGCACAAGCACCACAGCACATGACCATCGTGGGCATTCTACGTCTTGTAATAAATTGTTTTTCACTGTGATCAAGGCTAGACTCAAACTTCGCACCAAAGTAGATGGCGATCCAGCGTTGAAGGATTCGAGGTCAAGGGCAGAGCTTGCATTGCTGATCTGATGACGTAGCAACGCATTTTCGTTTCCCTTCACAACAACAACAACCACGCTTTCATCCCTCCTTCAGTGCAGAGTTTCTACCGTTTCGGGATCTCACAGCAACACTCCCAGTACATATACATTAGAAACTTTAGCCTCCATGCGCAGCCAACTCCTTCGCACCGCCCGGCGATCTAGAAGACCACCTTCTTGACCCCAAGTTTCCCGACAAACGCCTCGATCTCGAACGCTCCCCTTCTGCGAACAGTCTCACCCGCCAGCTCGCCCATTGCGGCGGTGAAGCCTGGTGCGTAAAGTGCCTTCTCTCGCGGAGCGCTTCCCGTGACGAGGCTGAGGAGATCTCGGCGGCAGGGTGAGGATACTGAGGCTCTGGGCGGAGTTGGCACAGTCAATAGCGACGAGGTAAGGCGCGCAATGCACGCAGAACCTTTCGTCCTTTGATGTAGCTCCTCAGTCAAATAGCAAGTCCAGCATTGTGGGTAGTGACAGATCTAGGGACATCGACGAGGCGCAGGACGTGGAAGAAGCAACTGGGAGCAATGTGCTCGACTACGAGATCACACAATGAGATCAGTGACTTGACCTGCCTTGGTACGCGCTCTCAAAGGGCCATCTGCCCTTTGATATTAACAGACCGTGCTGATTAAGACCCTCGAACAGTTGCCATGAACACGAGCCGAGACATCGAATTTCTTCAAAGCGGGCCGAATCGAAACGAGCGGAGGTACGACAGCCGAGCTCTGCACCGATCGAACAAGAAGGAAGCTCTAGACTGAGGAGGTCACAGTATCCTGGGACCCTGTGCCAAGTCGACGCGCAAGCGGAGTTGATTGAGTTGGGTACGGGGATGTTCGCGCGATGTTTCTTTCCGGGCACATGGAGAATGTCACGACCTGACAATTCCCTATTTCCCACTATCATCCTGCGCGTGCTGGTCATTGTCACGAGTCCTGGAATACTCATCCCATATCTCAATGAGTATTGACACTACTCAGCACATTCCGCTTCCGCACTCATCAAGTCCATCTGATCTCCTTCTGCACTCGCTTCTCGGAGTATCTATACGCACGGTCGACCGTGTTCATACTCTCATTGCATGCTTCTCAGGACCCGTTCCGTCACAAGAGTCAAGGCTGCATCTACAGAGTCACAGAGTCACTCAGGTGTGCTTCGTGACCTTAGGTGGTTCAAGATGTGATCCCTATTTTACTGCTTTCGGTGAAATGCGTTGCTCTTCTATTCTCAACTGGACTGACGACGGCTCGATTTAGGCATCATTTCACGTATCCCAAAGAGCCATCTGCTTCCATCCAACCGCATAAACACACCATCATCACGACATCGCCGACCTATTCGTACTCGTCCTATCAAGCAAAGTCTTATACCACCTCTGATTCCCAATCAAACTCTTCATCTCCTGCCCCGTCGCATAAGCCGCCGCCGTCTTGCCATTCGCACACTTGGCCCTTGGATTCGCCCCGTTCTCCAACAACACCTTGACCAGCGCCACGTTGCCCCTCAACGTCGCAAACGCCAGTTCTGTCTTGCCCGCAGTGTCCAGCACGTCAGCGTTGACGCCGTGTCTCATCAGTAGGGCTACTATCGCGTGGTTGTCCTGTCTGCAGGCGATGTGCAGTGGGGATCGGCGCTTGGAATCTCGTTCGTCGGGGTCGGCGCCGTGTTGGAGGAGGAGGTCGGTTATAGCGAGGTGTTGGTTTGAGACTGCTGCGCAGAGGGCTGGTTCGCCACCGGTGGATTGGAGTGCTTTGTTCTGCAGGAGGAGCTTCACGAGGTCGAGATCGCCGGATGAGACAGCGTGCCAAAGCGCGGTTTGGATGCTGCCATCACCGCCGACATTGCCAGATACCAAACCTTTCTGGAGAAGCAGTTTTGCACATGCAGATTGTCTGTGGTAAACCGCGTACCATAAGGCCGTTAGCCCGTGTATATCCCTTGTATCAGGATGGATTCTAGCGCTGGACAGGATGAATCTGACGATAGCTGCCTGGCCGCACTCTGCAGCGTGGGAGAGTGCAGTTCGGCCTTGGTCGTCTATGATAAGATGCGCTGTGTCTCTTCTTGCCAAAAGCTGGCTGACAAGGCGCTCGTGGCCACCACGAGCAGCGAGACATATTGTTGACCTGGCCTCATCGTGCATTGTCCCGGATGGATCTTGAGCGAGGAGGTACCAGACTGACCCAGCATCGCCTGCTGATGCGGCTTCTGCAGGTGATGACAGAGCATTGCGTTCAACGATTGTACTAGACTCGGATACTGTATCAGCATGCCCTCCTTTTTGTCGTGCCGTTCGGGAGATTGATGGGAGGTGGAGCCGTATACAAAGAGACCTCACGGGGTACTGAGTGAGATTGAAGCTGTTCAAGTCAATCCACTCTAACTCATCAGTCCTACACCTCTCAAAATGCTCCATCGTCAAGAACACATCCCTCAAATGTACCGCAATCAACTTATCCCTCGTCCCAATCCTCGTACAATGTAGCACACATAGGCCCCTACCCGAAGTATCCTGCGCAATAAACGGCGCCTGCATGTGTACTCCCTTATTAGTAATCGTGAATGGACTATTATAGGGCGTGAACGGATTCCACGGGATGATGTCACCCGAGTGCTTGAACGCAGCTGGTGTCGGGGCAAGTAAACCGCCGCGAGAAGTCGTGGCTTTCCAGGTGAAGAGGCTGTGGTCGTCCGAAACGCGCATGATCTCCTCTTGGAGACGGCAGAAGGCCTTGTCGCCTTCACCGTATAAGAGGGGCATGTTGATGCCGAAGATACCCATGAGGGAATATGCCCTGTCTTCTTTTCTTGTTGTGACTCTATCGGCTGCCCACGACATTCTCTGTGCGATGCTAGTCGTCTCTAGCTCTTCGCTGTCACAGAGAATTGATTCCGGTATGCTTGTTCTTTGCGATAGTGCTTGCACTAAGCTTGTCTTGGTACCCAACTCATTCCAATCTCTGTCGAAGAAGATCATTGAACTTGGCGCAATAAGTTCTTGTAGTGTCCAACCTCTAGTAAACCATCTACTGTTCGGGATTTCGGAAACGGTAGAGATATCTGCGAGGTATCCATAACAAATGCTAGCCTCTTGGTAGTACCGATACATCGAATTAATAGCTTCACTCAGTTCTGCACTGCTCGTCTTATCGATACAGCATGTATCGTCCCAGATATACTCAAACCCATTCTCTCGCGCCACGCGACAGCAGCTCTCGAGCTTGGCATAGCCCTTTTTCGACTTGGCGCTATCGCGTCCCATGTCTTGGAAGAGGACCTCTTCCTGCTCCCAGGTGTGGGAGAGGATGGCGTAGTCGGGCACATTATCGTCGGCGAGGAACTCGAGTTGAATGGTTTTGGTGTTGACGAGGCGCATGGCTGATGATGCTGTGCGAGGAGTAGTTGGGATTGGTGATGGGGGTTGGTATGAGGGATATCATCCTTGTTTGTTTTGCAGGCAGTGATTGGCTAGACAGAACTTGGTGGCCAATTCTCACGGATGCGGGGAAGCATGGAGCGACTACAGTCCGCTCGTCAAATCACATCTTCTACCTTGACGCAGGCGACTCTACGTTTGCTGTGGCTTGAGCAGGAACTTTTTGTTGACTTTTGGAATGACAGTGGGTTGTAGAGATCCAGGTTGTGGCGATATGTCACCAGAACTTGGACTCAGCATCTTATTGCTTATCATGGCTACATGGAGTGTGCATATCAATGTTGTGATTCCCCATTGAAAGGCTCATTGCAATACTGGATTCTGAATGACGGTTAGCAGGAAGGGCAAAATAGTTTAGATGACTTAACAATCCTTTTCTAGCTCTGGGTTAAGCTATACACAGATATTCTCCAGCATCAACTAATCTCATGGCCTTGAACGGCAAACCTCATTGTATTTTCCAGCCTTAAGTCCCATCCTCGGCCTGATCAGTTTATTGACTGGAATTTTCTCGAGCACTGTCTCAAAATTAGTTAGTACGAATCTATTCCGAGACTTGGTTAAACTCACTTAGAGAGAGAAAAGACTTGCACCTCTACTCCTGGACCATTTCGTCAAAGTTCGTCTCATCCCACATTCCCGTTTGAACCAGTAAGCTTGATGCAATCTTTTCTTCTGAAAACGTTACATATCACTCTTTACATCTCGATATCCGATTCATCAAGCAGCGGCTGAGCATCGAGCAGTTTCTCGGCCTTTACACGGAAGCTGCGAAGTACAGCAGCAAGAGATCCCTTCTTCACCACCCACTCCCAAGGGTACGTGAGGACGTGCTTCGGCGACGCGAGGCTATGTGTCCAGCAGGGCTCAAGCGCATTGGCCAGAACAATGTCCTCACCTGTGATCTGGTCTGCGTAGGGATATGGGATTTCGTTGTGCAGCACGCAGAGGAGCTGCAGCTGTCGAGCGCGAAGACGAGTGTTCTTTTCTGAGCTGTAAGGCATGATTGAGTGTTGGTCCAGATGAGTCAGAGATGTTGTCGGTGTTGTGATGGTGGAAGAGATTGAGCTGCGAGACCATTCGAATGCACTTTATATACTACGAAATGATATCTACCTGTCCTTGTCGCTTTGTGAATTTATTCTATTTCTGTATGGCATGTGAATTGTAGTCCCATACTTGACAAAGGTGGTGTTTTGGGCTTATGAATTCACTTCTCTTACCGGCATGATATTCTTTGTCGAGTTCTGAAGTGTCCTTCCGTCACTAAAGGATTCCCAAGGCATGCCTGATGTTAATCTAAATTCCATCAATCAGATCTGTATTTCACTTGGGTATCCCTTTGTCTCGATGCATAATTCACGAAATGATACAGCAGAAGTAACTGTAATAATTGACCGAAAAGCTGCAATTTTGTGAGACACTTGATTCATAATCCTAAAGGGCTTCTTGGCTCTATATTCCAACTTGCCTCTAAGGTGTTTTCCTTGCTATTGTTATCTATACCTTGAACAAAAGACATATCCCGCTATACTTAATCGGAGCCACCAAACAAACAGATATCCCAAGTCATTTCATTTTCTTCACTTATTTGTGTATCGAGCCAATTCCCTTCTGGATATACAATTCCTCAATCTTTTGTTCAATGATCCTCGCCAATCTTCGCCTCCTTTCCTTTTCAACCAGCCCGATCCGTCTACTGCGCTCAAAGATTGGAGCAACGATAGGTTCATCAAGCATCGACGTATTGGTTTCGACTATGAGGTATCTAACAATGTCCTCGGGCAATGCGTAGATGTAACGAAAGTCGCTGGGCCAGGGGAACTCCGGGTTCATCAGACGGCAGTATAGTCCGTGACCTTGTCGCAAATACTCCTTAGGTAGCTTCTCGAACTCGGAAAGGGTCGTCACGGTCTGTTGATTAGGAGGGGGATTGTCTTGGATATCTAGTGGTAGATCCTTGGGGCATGGAACGGCAAGGTTGTTCATGCGACGGGCCATTTGGAGCAGGATATCCTCATCGAGCTTTTCTGGGCTAGCAGGACGTGTAGGGGCGAATATGAAGAGAAGTATTGTCACGATGAATACAACTTTCCAATAGCGGTTGATGAGCCGGCGTCGCGGGGGCTCGTTATTGGTGATGAGCTCTCCATTGATGCCAGGTTCCGCTTGGTGAGCACTAGGTCTTTCTGCGGTGGAAGGGGGACCTTCATAGGTCTGAGGGAGCAAGGCAATAGGCTGTTTGGAAATATGCATATTGCTAGCGTAGGTATAGCGGGATCTGTAAGGATGCTGAGTCTGTAAAATGGCTAGTTGATATGACTGGAACAGCTGACTCTTGTGATGATTAGATTGGGACTGATAAGGCCTGGTAATGCGACTTATGAACTGTCGGCAACTCTTTGATACAGCACTGGACCTCGTCAGGAACTCACGATGTCTGATTGAGGCGAAGGGCCAGGTCGTACCTTGAAACAAAGGCATCAATGACAAATGTACGACCCGCGCCATTGTCAGGGTACACAGGCTATTTTTGTTAACTTAGCACAAAGAACCGTTGGGTTAATCTATTAATAAAGTCATTGACGGAGTTGTCGCGCGCAGAAGCTACAAAGAACTCAACAGTTGGCAGAGAAAATCATCCTTTTATTGCGCATGTCGCAAAGTCACAGGAATTGAAGAAAGAGGAATACATTCATTCGTTGAATTAATTAACCCAATAGAAAGTCCTTTGCCGTGACATTAGTCTCTAATCCTGCGTTGCATGAAGCATCCAAGCAGTAGGAGAGAAAATAGTAAAGAACCTGTATTACAGTTTGGAACAAAGAAACCCAGAGTAAGAGCGCGATGTGGCAATTCTTCTGGCTTGCCGCTCATACGGTAGCGATTTGAATGGACCTCACAATCAGTAAAGGTGACATAGCAATTAGTTAACCCGATCAGCCATCAGCATGTGGGTGCATAAGTCGGGAATGGAGTTGTGAGTTTTTTACTCCATTTCACCCCGATTTGCCTTTGAGAAGGGTTGTTTACTCAAATGACGTAGCTCCTCCTTTCTTCAGTCTCAGCCACATTCAACCTCTAAACGGTCTGATCACAACAGCTGCACTTTTGACACTTTCGTTCTTAGCCAGGTCTGTGCAGCCAGACTCAAACCGCAGTGGCTAGCTGGCCTTCAAGATCCTCCAACTAAGGTTATTCATACGAAAGATTAAGGGCTCGCTTACTATTGTGGTTGCTTTTGTTGAGCTAAGCGAGACCGCCATAATGTGTTGTTGACTGCTGTACGCCCGGCCGTTTCTGATCTATCGATTTTTACGCTCTGTTTTCGCCGCACGGTAAGTCCAAGCGGCCTATTGACTTAGAGTGTGTGGAAGAGAACCTATTAGCTGGTTTCCGGATTTCAGGTATATACAGTAGATAGTGTACCTCAACTGCACTGTTTCTCACAACGGGAACGTCAGAAACACGTTGACTAACACGCTAGCGCCTGTAAACAGTCCTGCTCTATTTTTATGGCGCTCTCTTGGAGTATATCGTATTCGGCAACTGGCGTTAATTAAAACAGAGCATGCTTCCTTACGTGGTTGCAGTAGTGGTGATAACAGCAAGTTCAAAGTTAACACTCCCCAGGTAAGCCCTCAAAACACCATCCACTGAGTTGCACACAAGTTTCCTGAATAATCTCAATTTAGCTGCCCCAATGTAATGGACAAAACAGAGCATCTCTTCCTTCACAAAAATCAGTGCTTTGACCCTGACCCTGGCCCTGCAAACATCCCTGCAAAAGCATCTCTGCTTCAAGCCACTTCTTCTTTCTCTCTAACATAGCCAATCATAAGCTCAAACGTGACCGTCTAAACCACAGTTCACCGTCTTCAATTACAAGCCACACGCATTCAATGCTACGCTAAAGCCGTTGAAAAGCATTCTTCAACTGTTACCGAAACCAGTAAACAAGCCACGAAGCAGTCGTCCCTCCAATGAACGCATTCGCTTTTGCCAAGAACCTGTGATAACTGGTAATTGTAGGTCACGTATTGCCTCTGTGCGTGTCCCAAGCTTCTAGAGATGTTCCATGCAAGGAACCTAACTGTACCAGGGGATGGTAACTGACGTAACGGTTCTCTGCACCCATGAAATTGGGCTAGACACTTCCTCTTTTAAGGTTCTTCCATCCCTTCCAGAATCTTTCCCTTTCCAGAAACCGTTGCACTTAAGACATCAGTCTACTCACCAGCTTGCACTCTTCTTGTCTTCCTTTGCCCACTGATACGTTATCTCTATCCTTTACTTCTATCCAAGACCCATCTCCTCAACGTATACACCGTTCCTCACACAAACTCTCCTGCTTCTCACAATGGCAGTCCTTCCTGTTATCCCAGGCCTCAACATCTCCGTTCTTGTGGACGGTGAGCTAGCCACAGAGCACATCCCCCAGCCCTCGTACTTCCCTCCCCTCATCGACGCAACCGGACATCAACTCATCAATCACAATCAATGCTTCATTGAGTCCCATGCTGACTCCCGCTTTGCCATTCGCTTCAGAATCTCATCTGACTTCAAGTTCCCTTGGGGCAAGACCATTCTCATCATCTCCATCTATGCCGACGGGAAATCTTTCGATGCTCGGCTCTTCCAAAAACGTTTCATCGTCAGCGCAACTCGCGGTGGTAAAGTGTTTGAGGATCTTGTTACGTACTGTCACCGCGAATATTCGGGTGGCTCTTGTGAGACTTACAACCCTGTCTTTCAAGACATCAGACATCCTGGTAAGTCTGCCACGGCACTTATGGATCACATTTCTAACACCAACGTAGCATTCCAGACAGACGACGGCTCTGGTATCAGTGACCCCGACAGCATCAAGGCCTTGGGAAGCATCCAAGTCGCTATCACGGTTGCGCGGGACCGCGGCCCTGGTGAAGTGGCTACCGATGAGTTCAGCGACGACAAGCGAGTTCCTCTTGCCATTGACAGCGACGCCCTTCATCGCTATGGCTCCGGCCAAATCCATGGAACCATGTAAGTTTCTCCTTCAATTGACATGAAATTGGCTAACATCTTACAGCTACGCCAGAGCAGCCGAAAATCTCGACATGGAGTATGTTGCTGTTGATCGTGAGGTGCACATCGGGAACTTCTTTTTCTACTATCAGTCTCCTCGTATGTTACCTACACTCTCTGAAGAATAGACCTGCTGACTCTTGTAGCTGCTGAGGGTGCTCGGTTCAACTTGCAACCTAGATTCATTTGCCGCGACGCTAACGAGATGGTCCATACGCGCAAACCTTAGTCGGGCAGCTAAATGAGTGATGTGCCACAAGATACGAGGGTTCACTCACAATAGAGGATGAACGGTGGTTTGTTGGTGTGGGAAGGGAAGATGAAGGGAAAATGTGTTGTTCGATGTAAGTTTGGGTTTACTGTTAGAGTGATGGATCTCCTTAGCTAAGCCTGTCACTGTTGTGTTTCCTTTTCCATTTTCTTTTGTCTGCTCTTAGAAGGTGTCTTGGTACTTCATAGAATAGATCTCATAACATGTAATAGAGAGTGGGTTTGGCGCAATCCTGAGTATGCCCTGATGTGAGTCCTAGTTGCAACAAGTGCGCATTAACACTTACCCTCAGCGATGTTAGAGCAACTCCTCGAGTGATTTGATATCAAATGAGACAGTCACAGCGCTCCAAGTAATGCATCTCGCCCTCAGCCTGACATGATATCGATTTCATCAGTGGCTCTAACCTTGTTACCCTAAAGCAAATGTCTGAACAGTCTAATCACTGAATCTCTCTGCATCTGTATCTCGATGCTTCCCCATCCATAACGCCTTTAAATGCCATAAACATCCGATCACCAACTATCATCAACAAACCAGCTCGATTCCATAGTCTTGGGCGAAAAGAACGGCTTCGGGTCAATTGCCCTCGGGTCAATAGCCTTTGGAGCCTTTGTCTCTTCCACCTCAATGATGGCCTCCAGTTTCTCATATCTACCCAAAAGCTCTTTGCACATTCTTACTCTTTCACTCCATAAGTACCGATCATGTGTTGACGTCGTCATCTCGGCGCCCATCATCATTGGAATCGTGATAGGAGCAGCTAATCCTCCTGTCAACAGTGTCAAGACAGCTGCACCTGCACCCAAACGCGTGCGGTTGAGTTCCTTGTTCCGACTGGCCTTTTCGACTCGCAGGTTGGAGAATTGATCGAGGAGCTGCTTGCATATCTCGGTTGAGGGTGTGCCGACGAGGAGGAATGCGAAAATTATGGCAAAGTCGATGTCGCTCCAGTAAATGTTGACATCGTTCCATCCTTCACGAAGAGACTCGAAGCCTGCATTTAGACGGTCAGAAACATTTTCGAGTAGTGTAGAGGGGCTGATAACTTACATTTGTTGACCTTGTCAATGTTGCTGTGCTTTTCCACGTGTCCAATGAACTGCACTTTCGAGATACTTCGAATTCTATCCTCATCCCATGGTTCTCCTTGACATGCAGGTTGTCCTGGCTGGTGACTCCAGTAGAGTCCGGTTGTGAACTTTTCCAGGACGGTCTTGCGGGAATACCATATGCTCTTGGGGACCAGACAAAGTGTCATTTGAACCTGGAAAGTGGATGGTGGAAGAATGGCGGGAAGAGTTGCTGTCTGCGTATGGTCCCAGGTAATTACTTCACCAAGTTCCACAATGGTGTTCGTTCCGAAATCGATGCCGGCGTCGTCGTTGATCAGCGGTGTCGTGACTAACACGGCCACCCATTCATCTGGTTTCGGCGCAGGCTTTGCTTTCCTCTCCTCGGAGACTGGCGACTCGGCTCCAGGTTGATCTAGAACTCTGTTAACCACAGACTCTGCTTCAATCTTCAAACAGACTCACCGCCACTAATCTGCTCCAAAACCCAATTCACCACCATCAAAACCAAAGCCTTCACCTCCGAAGACAAATGCCGAAATTTGGTCCTCGCAACTGCCAACTGCTTGTTCCCCAAACTTCGCATCTTCTCAAACGGAGGTGTGATCTGGGGAAATTCGACGGGAACAAAGTATTTGACCATAGCTGGCGCATTGTCCCATTTATCATTCAGCATAATAACCAAGTCGAAGCCTTTGGCCGTAAGCCAAGCTAGAAGAGGAATGACTGCGAGGTTTCTGTAGAACTGTAGCCATTCTGGACATAGGACGAAGAGCGTTGATGCGACGGAGACGACGACGACGAGTTGTTGTTTTACTACGGCGAGATCGTGGCGCCGTTGGGGGGACGGCCGGGGCGAACTTTCCATGCTCGCAGACTGTGTGGGATAAGTTGGAAGAATTGTGATGAGAAAAAACGTCCAAGGACATGCTTTTGAGGTTGATGCCCGTTGGCATCTCGGGTATCAAGTTCAAGCCCCCCACTATCACCACATGGCGCACTCGACCACCAATCAATACCATCCCCACATCCACTTTCATGCAATCATACGTGTCTGAGGACAACAAGCGAGAACCAGGAAGAAGCGGTCAGTTCGTCACCACTCGCATTCTCAGACGCGAGTGCACTTTATTGACGCGTTTTGCAATCAGTCATGTTCCAGTTACTGCCCCGACAGAGGTCAGGGAGATCAAGTAGGCATTCGCCACTTGACCAACGGCGGCATGAGTCTTGCTAAGTCTAATTGGCTTGTCATTCAATTACTTTCGCTCCTGAAGTGCCTGTTTATTTCTCTCGGGGCAGCTGTATCACATGAGATTGACCCCGTGCATTCCGGGGGTCCTCAGTCGAGCGAGCTGCAATGTATCCAACCGTTGTCGGCACAGCAGATCGTGCAACGCCAACCAAGGCCAATCTAGATATAGAAAAGAGCCCAGATTTTCGTACTTCTCCAATTCAGATCGTAAGAAGATGTAGGATCGGTTGATTAATTCTGTGTGCCGCCAGCATCAGCAGAAATTGTTAATGCTCGTGTCTCCTGGTTCTATCGCGTAACCTGCCGTGACCTTATTAACGCCTATCTTCTATTCACTTCCTACAGACCCGATTAAGTGGATGATAGATGTCATGCGTTGGAAACATTTACAGAACAGCAGTAGATGAGAGACAGTAAGGAATACACCTTGCGACAAGTCGATAAGCACCAATGATTCAACGTTCACGGCATGATATGGCATAGAAAATGCCAATACGCAATTTATTGACCAACCTTCCTTATAAACTTGCTTGCTGTTGATCGTACCAGTATTAAACTGTCACCTTTCCTAACGACCGAGGTGTCTCGGCCAGGAAGGGGGGGGTCAATTCGAGCAAGACAGCAACTTCAAGTAAGCAGGCGTGGTTGATTGATGGTGAACTGTAAGGTACGAGGCTGCGACTGTTGAATAGTGAGTGATTGAGTGGCAGGATCATACGGGACACAATGCTATATGACTTTATCTTCGCTAATGAGAATTCCACCAAGTCTAAGTCGACTACCCTGCACCCATCTCCCAGAGTCAGCATATCAAAAAACCAACAACCTAATTATAACTCCAAAAGTCTCAAAGAATAAATCTACAGTGAGACTAGATAAGATCCAGTCTACCAGAGGACATAGCACAGCGATAACTGTCGTTTGACAAGCAATATTACATAGATATTAAATACTCCTAATAAATAAACAGGTTTCAATTACGCAGCAGGGACAGTCCGCGGAGAGATATAAGACTCTGCCTTGTATTTAATTGACTGTCTCTAATAAAGCTAGATTAAGATAACCAGATTCCGTGCGAAACCTCTGCAGTGCTTAGTTATATCGTTTTTACAATGCGGTTGCTAAACACAAGAGACAAACAGGAGATACTAAAATCACAGCCTTTCTCAGCTATACCAGTCCGAGATAGGGATTGCCGGCCTGTTCGCTCCATGACCCCGCTTGGTGTCAATCAGATGTCTGGGTAGTGTTGATCTGCAGCCGGTGCGGAGAAGCTGAGCTGAGGGGTAACGTCAATGGAACTGGACCTAAGCTTGCTGTAGGGCTTAGTAGGTTTTTTAAGCTTTCGTGCCTGCAGTAGACCGCATTTTGGACAATGTATCTTTTTTCTTGCTTAAATGCATGATCCAATCTCAATCAGGCAGTTCAAGCGAGCAAAAGACCCGGTATTGCATTAAGCGATCGTTTAAGGTACATCGCTCCGCGACAATGTTCAACTGGAGTATACATGTCGTGCGACATACGCGACGTCTATTTTTAAAAGGCTAGAGATCGGCTCTTTGTCCCGGATTGAATTGACCAAGTTTCATGGGGATAATACCATGTTTGCGTTATCTACTGCATTGAGTAGATATTGCTTACCCTATAGCAACTGAGATCAGGATCTTGCTTCCAGGGAGGCATAGGCAGCACTACTGTTACATAGCTTTACATATCTTCTGGTTATCTAATGATGGTCGCGAAAATTCTGGAAATACTTAGATACGTTGGACATCATTGGTAACAGAGATATCAAGCCTACTATGGCAGGAATCATTATCTTGCATCATGTCGGGATTTAACCTGTCTTTAATTGAGATGCAAGGCGCATATCTATTTACCGTCATGTAAATAGACCAAAGTCAATTCAAGTTCATGGTGAACCAATCTCCATCAATCAACCGAGTCACCAATCTTGGTCAACGCTTCTGTAAGCGCTCTAAAAAACTCGAGGTTCTGGCACATAATGGGAACTGCACATCGCACTTTTCAGACAGAGCTATCGCAGACAAATACGAAGAAAGCAGCAAGATCACTATATATAGAATTGCATCGCAGGCTCGCTATTTTAAATGAGTCTTTGTCCTTAAGTCTGTGGCATTGGGTTTCAATTAATTCTCTGGGTGGGGGTTATTTTTAGACCTCAACAATGACTGCGGGATCATTCCGCAAGCGCGGATATCTGCCGCTCAAAGAGACTCATATGTTCACTGCGGTCAACCCGTAAAACGACATTGTGCCTATTTGTCGCCCAAACAATGCTCACTATGCCTTTCCCCATGCAAAGGACCATTGTTCAGAATGGCAGTGCTCACGTCAAAGGGCTTTGGTCGATGGTCAACACCATGTCTGTTCATCCGCCAACCGGTACTTGATAAGACCCAGTTCCATGTAGAACAACATGCAGAAACAGCAGCAACATCTCAGCTTCAATCAGCCTTGGCATTTCGCGGTCAATAATACAATTGCCCTGACTTCGCGACGTATCTCTTATTTCGCTTGAATACTTTATTACCACTCAAAATGTCACTATTCAATCGTTCAAACCCCCGCCAAAGCGGCAACCAACCTAAATCCTATCCCGACCCAGATAAAATGGACATCGACATCGACATCGACGTCTTGATCGGTATTCCATCATCACCGACGTTAATCACACGCCTGTTAACCCAATACTCCAAGCTTCAGCATCTTCTCTGTTTACTTTGGGTAAGCGGGGTACTCGTCTACACCACGATCAGTGCCGTCAGCAGTACCTCCATCGTCAAGATGCTAGCTTGGAAACACCACGATGATTTTGTTCTTTCGCTTCATTTCAGATTCAGTCATATGTTCCTGCAGAGTTACTTCAAGATCGTCCAGTGGAAGGCTTCTACGAATGAGGTGTCGGCAATTGGATACTGGGGCAATACTAACATGGGATGGGTAATTTTTCTGTGTATCGTACCTTGTGCAGTTATCTGTGGAGTAGGACGGCTCTTTGATCACCTGTCTAAAAAGTAAATAAGCATTTAGTAAATTTGTGAATTGAGGGGTTTGAATGCTTTCTGTACTATTTGAACTTTGCAGAAAGCGCGGTTCTGGCTGCGGCTTGGGTTGCCGCATGTTAGTGTTATTTTATTTTACTCTGGCTCTTCTGTTTATTTATTGTCAAGATTATATTTTCTTTATATATATTCAGGATACATAGGTGACTGGATTATATTAATGGAGTTATTCTGATGTCTTTTATCTATCTAACAGTTCTCATGTTTTCACCAAGTACCGACAGAGTCAACAAGCCCATCACCAGTAAATAAACAAACTCGCAAAATTGAGTAGCGCCTGTGGACCTTTCCAGTGTTTTTCGTAGCAGCTGATAGGCCAAGGTGAGAGAGAAGATCTCGCAATTGGCCAGACGGCCGCAGCACTCCGTAGCTTGGATCCACAGACGCTACTCGATTTCGTGGGTTTACACGGAGTATGATCCTCACGATTACTCCGTACACTCAACTTTACGACACACTGGAGGGTGATGCGCAGTATCTTAATCACCTCTCAGCCATATTATATCCCCCCGCCCTGTCTCCAAATTCATTCCAGGTAGCATTCTGGCTATCACCGTAACTTAACAGATCATATCACTCACCTCGAAAAAGGACCCCAGAACCGCTTCCAAAACCGCCTCTCACTCGCAGCCCGCTCTTGACGCCACTTCTCAATGATTGGCTGTCGCCAGTTCGAAAGCCACTCTTCCATGACATCATCATACGGATGTCGGTCCGCCATTAGAGTCCTCCACTGAGCGCGGCTGGATCGTAAACGTACCGCATCGTATCGCCATTCAAGAGGATATCCCTCTTCGGAAGCTGATAGTGTGCAGAGGGTGAAGTAGTAGAGATCATATTCGGTCCAGATGACTCGGGTGTCATCTGGGTTGCCTCGGCGGAATCGCTGCAACTGTCGGCCTAGCACGTAGGGATCTGTATTGCAATTCATGATGGTGTCGGATGGTAAGTTGAAAGGTTGAGAATTGGTTGGGGACTGAGATTTCCATCTTTATCACTCCCGGCATCACTCTTGTTCTTGTTTCGCCTGTTCATGAAGTACGCGATGTATATTCCTTTGTCTCTCATCAATTGTTCTGTGACAGTGCATTGGGAGCCAGACAATAATGTGCAGGTGCATGTTCGTTATACGCGGATCAGCAAGGGATATCAAGCCAGCTGTTATGGCCTCTCATTATGAGATCATGAAAATACCATGGCATGTTGGCAGGTTTGATCGCGAACTCTACCACTTCAACGGACCATCCACTACTGTCACAGCGCCGCGTTCTCGCCCGAATGCATCGAACTTATGATTATCACTCACGAATCAATTCCCCAAGGCATCACACACAACTAAAACCGCGGTATCCGAAAGCAAGTTGCATTATTGTATTAGCCTGCGTAACTACTCAAGGCTTCAGCATTCTTTCTGCTTGCAAGCGATCTTGCTCACTTAATTCAAAAATCGTATTATAATGTTTTGGTGGATCTGCTTTCCTCTTAGCATTCATCTCATCGTTGACCTCCTTGAATTGCTCTTCAACTTGTTTCATGTAGTAGCCGGGTTCCTTTAACTGTCTTTGGAACCAGTTTCGCTCTGCTTTCTTGGGCTCTGCTGGCTTGGGCTCTTCTTTACTCTCTTTTTTGTTGTCGTTTGTGTTCTCAAGTAGACTTGCCAGGCCTGACACCGCGATGGCGTAGAGTGTGCCGCCGACGAGGATGCTGCCCACGGTTTCACCTCCTTTTAGTGGTTTTGGTGGCATGATGACGGAGGCGGTATTTGGAGCAGCCTCTTGGTTTAGTGATTCCAGCGGTCGGAAGGCAGAGGTTTTGGATGGTTTGTGATGAAGAGCAGGGCAGATATCTTGGTGAGACACAATGAGACTGTCGCACGTGGTTGCGATTGCTCTGGATGTGACGATGTGACTGATCAATTGAATGAACGAATGGTGGGGTTTGAGCAAAGCAATTCTGAGACTCGCATGAGGGGAAAAGCTCATCACTGGCTCCAAGGAACGGATCAACTAGTCTCCGAAGAGTTGCATGACATGGCCACAGAAAGGAATCTGCTGGGGGATAGCGCTAAAGGCGGGGCAAAAGTAACAGAGCATTTCCAACTGGATATGATGTGCAAGCCTGTCCAGTTTATTTTGTCAAATGGCCCGACTTTAACAGATGTTTCTAACCACATCGGTTGCACAAGAGGCGGGGCAGAGGCTGGTACCATGCCCGTAATTGCCTCACCCTAGAGCGAATTGAAGGTGGCATTTTACATCCAACCTCGACATAGAAAGATTGCACAGGACGGCCAGTCACAATCACACATGCTTTATTTATTTCCGAAGGAATAAGCAAACAACTTGAACTCAGAGACTTGACCTTACAAGATTATCCGGGGCTGTATTTCGTATATAATTTTGGTAACCTTTCGACAGCTTCTTCAGAAGTCCAATCATTCGTGCGAGATATCATCGACCTGCAACTGGACAGATGGGCAGCTCGACTGTGTTTCCCAAGAAAGTTAGCTATCATCTTTTCAGCGCTTTGATTGGAGAACCGATAGGGAAACTAGTCTGTAGCCCCATTGCAAATTGTCGAGTCCATATGATACGCGAGCCTGATTGGATGGACTGGAGTGACCTTAAGGCTACTTCGTGCAGTTGGAAGTGAAACCCAATTAACATGCGTCCGTGGACCTTGAAGAAGAACTTGTTGTTATCGTGCAGGGACTGTTGAGACTTCAACTTTGACTGTTAAATTACTATGTACATCGCCATTCCCGATACTAGATACACAAAACAAACATTTCCGGCAAACAAGCTCCTTACCCACTCAACTGTTTGACAACAAAGTTCGTTCCAAGCTTCTGAGTCGCCGCATCATTCGGATACTGAAGGTGCTGAGCGTTGATTCCATAGCCATGCGTCGTATCACAAACTCCATCACCCTAATCACATTAGTAACCACTCCCAAAAACCCAACTTCATAAAAACTTACAAAGATACAAACATCAAGCGTGCGAGAGATCCAGTTCTGCGGAACACTCCCTCCCGCAAGAACCTGAAGCCCATTAACATTCCTCGTGGTCGTCCCCCCATTATTATCAACATTACACGCCAACCCACTCCTATGCAACGGATCCCCAATCAAAAACACTCCCTTCACTGCATCACCCGCACTACCAGTCAACTGCGACAGCGCATTCACCGTCGCCGCTGCGCCCTGGGAGTATCCCTCCAGAATGAAGCATTCACTAGGGTTACTCGCCAGAACGCTCTTGACCTCGCGGATGATGTCTTGTGTGCCTGACGCCGAGTTTTGGTCGTAGCCTGCGGGGTATACGGTGTTGTAGATCTTGCCGCCGGGGAGTTGGGATGTGATTTGGGAGTTCATAGTGCGGAAGCCAGCGGAGGGGCCTTGGAGTTCGCCGGTGCCGCGGGTGTTGATTATTGTGTAGGATGTGCACTTTGCGGCTCTGGGGTTGGGAGCTGCGGTTGCGATGCCTGTGAGGGCGAGGAAGGTGATGATTTGGGAAAGCATGGCGAAGACTTGTTGAATGTTTGTGATGAATGCTGAGGAGGATTGAAACTGAAGGTTTTGCAGCTGGATACTTATAGTAAGTTCTCTCTGCTGGTTTAAGCTTACAGCCACAAGTCTCAACACCATCATCTATGATCACCCCTATAATCCACAATCTCAAACAAACTCCCTCGCAAGAATCCCCCAAGTTGTATTAGTCTCGTTTCTCCCCGTTCCTCTTCGGCACACTCATCCGACCACACGTGGCCGATCCTTCTCGGTACATCATCTCGTCTCAATGCCGTGATGACTCCATATTTTCCCCTTACTATTGGCTTAGTAGATGGTTTCCAATCGATCAATCAAGCTATTGGCTGAGCTACGGGTTTAAGTCTGACCATGGCGTCGGGTCTGACTCGTGTTTCAACTGACTCGCGACGTTCTAACCGAAAATCACTCTCGCTAGCCGGATCCGTTGTCGATCATGGTTGTTTATGGGGTTTTGTTCCGTGATCGGCTGTGTCAGGCTTACCGGACGTAAAGTCAAAGCGCACCCCATAAAATGCTTAGCCCCGTGTTTTAGCTGCGACGAAAACTCGGCCCGACACATGATTCGATACCAAAGTCTTGAATAAGGCAGCTTTCTCGGCATTGAATGAACTCATTTGAGGTACATTTATTATCTTTGCGCTGGCTCGTGCACACGCCAGATTCATTACCTATCAGCACTGATAATCCCCCTGATATGCTGTATCGCCGGCTCCGTCTCTGACCAAGAATACCACGACTGGCGAAAGATAAGCACCGCCTCCTGCCGCGACCCAGGAGAATAAGCGCTCGGTACATCATACGCATACAAGTTCGGGTTCTCAATGCCCGGCCAGATATGTTTGTTATCCTCCCTGACCATCTTGTACAACTGTAGTACCTGACTCTTCAGCTCAGCAATCAAGTCCTTGTAATCATCTCGTGCAACAATATCCGCTCGCTGTTGAAGAATGTCACTCATAGCCTCCTCTTCTAAATAATCATACCTTTCCTCCCCAGTTGCATTAGGCTTCTTCTGTATAAACTTCTGCAGCGACTCTAGATCCTTCATCAGACGGATCTTGATCAACGTCAGGGCCATTTTGAAGGAAACATCGTAATAATGAGGTTTCTCGATAACAGCCTCGAATGCATCTTCTCCCTGTAGGTCAAGGAACTGCAAGCTCATGTCCCGCCAGTTGTACTTAGAGTCGCCTTTGACAGCATACCACTTGATGAAATCGTAGGCCTCCTGATCCCTTCCAAGTCGGAGATACAGCGCAGGAATTTGTGACCGAACGCCAAGATTGTCGCCTCGACAAAGACGTAGCATCTCAAGAGATTCCTTAAGGGCAATCTCAATGGCTTCTCCGGTGCGGACGTTGAGAATAGCAGTGATGTAATCGTGGCGCGCTTGCATGTAAGGCCGAGTACTCTTGAAGAACCAGAAGAGGCCGACACTATTATCGAAAGGATTGCCATCAGTGTCGTCGCCGGGATTGGCGCGTAGCTTGGCTTCTTCTTCAGTGAGTTTGTCCTTGGTCTGCTTGATAGGAATGCATTGGACCTTGTGCCGTGGTCTGTCTGTCTTTTGGTGCGGTTTGCCGCAGTACTTGACGGTTTGACAAGCTCCGCAGCGGAGAAGGTTGGGGCTTTGGAAGCCAGCTGGGCAGGGGGAGTGGCTGCAGTGGTTGTAGGGGAGGCCGAGATTCATGCGCGGCATTTTGGGCAATTGCGTCTCCAATTGAAGCTGTCTTTTGGTATCTCAATGCTTGCTTCTTGTGCTGTTACGATCGTAATGATGAAGGGAGAGCTTGAGTGGCGTTATACTTTTGCTATGATGGAAGAGGCTGCACGGGAATATCGTTGTCCCGCGTCCGACCCCGCAGCCGTTGACCGCCTGTCGGTTGAAAATGGGGGCCGTGAGGAGTCTTTCATTGGGTAGGCAGTCGTTTTCAACGCTGATGAAAGTTTAAACTGTCAGGTTTGGTCGAATGGAATTTCATAGAGAATAAATGTTATAAGAAGGAATTAAGCAGCCACACGAAGATATTACCAGATCAAAAACAACACTTGTCATGTCCCATAAATGACTTTCATTGAGCCTGAAAGTCAAGTTGGCTTCATTCCGAGTCCTCGGTTGATACCCGAGACTTTGCCTCGATATTGCGAGCGGGTCATGCTGATCTCCGGAGCGCCTCGTACATTGGACTTACGTTTCTGAACATCTAGTTGACATTCATCGATCAAGCCGAAGTGAACTTGGCCATGCTCAGTTCCTCATTGACTGTGCCTCACCAATAATCAAGTTAAAAACGCGGGGTAACGTTAACAAAGCGGCATATACGACGAGGGTTCATGCAAACCCTACCGAATCAAGACGTCAGCAGATCACGGAACTGCCCATTCTGGGGTAATAAACCAGGAACACTATTGCACTTGGCCAGTTCCCCGGGTAAAGTGCCATCCTGGGCAGGGGACCTGCCAGAAGCGACCTATAGCCCATCATCTAACGATGTCGATCGCCCAACTCGAGGTTTAGTAAATGCAACCTTACGCGGGGATTTAGCTTTTGCTCGGCGCTGTGCTAGACTTTCACATGGGACTCGCTTATCGGAGTGTAATTAACTCTATGTCTTAGTTATTGGATAAGCTTAAATACGGTAGGATTACTTCTAGACTACTGAAGCTAGTTGCTATTGCCAGTGGTTTATCAATTCTTCACCATGGCAGTGTTTCGATGCTTGGCCGCATTGACTTTGGCCGTTGGGGCCAAAGCTCTCACGTACAACACCTTCGACGGCCCCGGTTTCCCAGCCTGTAATAACGTTTCAACCGTTCATGACGCCACTAGTGTCAAGGACATACAAAACACCGTTCAAAATGCCATCAAAGCAGGCCAAAGAGTTCGCGCGTCTGGAAAAGCACATATGTGGTACGACACAATGTGTTCCGATGATCCCAACACCGTCATCATTCGTACAGAGAATGTCAACAAGATCTACGATCTAGACCTCGACGCAGGTACTGTGATGATCGAAGCGGGTGTGACGTTCCTACAGCTCGCAGATTACCTGCATCAGCGCGGTGCGTCTGCGGGATATACTCTTGTCAATTGGAATATCACTCTCGCGGGCTGTGTAGCCATGGGCGCGCATAGATCTTCTATTCGGGAGGATTCTATGGTTGCCGCTGGTGTATTGTCTCTGGATATCATTGATGGCAATGGTGAACTGCGACACTTGGAGCGTGATGATAGTGATGAGTGGCTTGCTGCCTCGACATCTCTTGGTCTCCTTGGTGTCATTGTGAGGATGGAGTTCAAGATCTATCCCGACTTCAAGGTCTACGCTGATCAGAAGACGCTGGATGAGGCTGATGTTCTTGATGGAGACATCTACGGTATGATTTCGCCGTACGCTACAGCCAATCTTTGGGTGAGTACTCCCTTTTTCTTCTTGACTGGAACTAAAGGATATTAGTGGTGGCCTCACAAGAAGAAGTTCCACTGGCGGTACTATGACGTCATCCCCACCAATCAAAGCGACCAAGAAGGTTTCCAGAATACATTCTCAATAACCCAACTCGAAGCTGGCGCCATCACAGCTCTTTGGAACACCGGAAAAGGCGTCGCTCTCTCCAATCTCCTAGCAGAAGAGATCCTCTTCGGGCAATGGGAAAACCCCAACTTTCGCGAAAAGACGACCAATGAGCCCATCACCAAGTGGCCCGTCTACGGATGGAACTACGACGTTCTCATCGGCGGTCTGTATCCTGACCAGAAACCAGTTTGGGAATACGGTATCCACGGGTATACTCTTGAACTTGCGTTCCCCGTTACTCAAGCGAATGCAATGTTGAAGAGGGTTCGTCAGCTTTTTGACAATGAGGCCAAGAAACTTAAGTTTATGGCATCGACTTACAGAAGTGGCATCAACATCAAGTTCGGCAGACCGTATTTCGATCTGCTTGGTCAGGTGACCTACGGTACCTCTGATGGCGCTGATTGGGATAAAGGTGCTATTATGTTGGACTTCCCGTCTTATAAACCAAGTATCGGCGATGGACTACGATACAACGAACCATTTTGTAAGTTGGCTCCACGGATCAGTAGGGAAGATTCAGCTGACTGTTAACAGATCACAAACTTGCGGAAACACTCATTGATGAATTCCCATGTCGTCCGCATTGGACCAAGAATACAAGAGAGGTGTTTGAGCGATCCGCCAAGAATCTCGACCCTGATGTAAGTTTATTTCCAGAGACTGGGACTAGAATGCTAATGTGAGAGTCCAGCACATTGCTCGTTTCAAAGCAGTTCGAGAGAAGTTTGACCCAGATGGGATCTTTTGCAGTGTTGTTGGTGAGGCGATTGGTGTATATTGATGATTTGTTGCTTGGATAAATCCTGTCGTGCTTTAATTCTTTCCGTAGCTATTTATGTGCAGAGCTTGGATGCAGTGAGAGGGGCGGTGTACCCGTTGCTGTCGTTTGATCTAGCTTCATGTAGTAAAATGGACATTTTTTTTACTCACTCCCATGAGTCCGTTGTAGGCTTTCGGTTTCTCATAGATACTGTCTGTCCGTAGTGCTATTACTCGGTACTATGTGTAATTAACTATTTGGAACCGGCTGATGTCAGAACAATAATTCTACTGCTACGCTGTTTTTCTAAGGGCATCTCACATGAATATGACCAATCACACTGCTTGCCTTGGCGGTAGACCCACCCTTGGGGAACTGGCTCGACTCACTCATTCATTTGGTCGGCAATTTCAATCAGCATTACACTGTCATGTACATTGTCATGCTCACAACGTCACAGTTTCAAGGGAATAAAATGTTTTAGAGATAATACGTCATTTGTGTGCGCTATGGGATTTCCTAAATACAAGCAGTGCGCTATCGCTGCACAGAAAATGCAAAGCAGTGTATCCTATTCTTCTAGGATGGGGTATCTAATCTTCATGTCTCGCAAAACCGAACGCCAAATACAGTAGTACATCACCCACGTACGGTTCCCAGCTTAGCGAGTTGAGTATGTAGTTCCCTACTTGGAGTTGATGTAGACGACCTTGGGGGGAGGAACGCCGTTGAAGGAAGTTGAGTAGTCGGGCCCATAGGCAGCAGGACCATAGACCCAGACGAGGTGATCCGGAGCAAGCACATCAGGAAGATCAACAGTCTTCTCCCTTCCATTGGCGTCCTTTCCAAGGATGATGTCGGAGCTATCACAGCTAGCACCATACAGAACACAAGCTTTGGTCTTCTCAGAAGGAGCAGAAGTGTGCCACTCGAAGGAAATCTTGTTGGCCTCGTTCAATCCGTGGAGAGTACCAACGGAGAGAAAGACGCGCGAAATAGAAGCACCAGCGGTGTGCTTTGAGACGTTGATGACATGGGTCTGAAGCCATCCAGCCTTGGAGATGAAAGCTCGTCCGGGCTCGGTCATCATGATAAGTTTGACGGGCCAGTCTGCAAAGACGGAGGAAAAGATGTTGATGGTGGGTTTATTGTAGTCGGCGAAAGAAGGGGCAGTCTTGGTAGAGATACCAGCCCATCCTCCACCAATGTTAGCCAGAGTCATAGTGATTCCGAGTTCAGTCTTGACACGGTCAAAGACACCACGGAAGAGCTTGGCGAACTGGACGAAAGCATCGGTAGCGAGGTTCTGGGTACCAGGATGACCAGAGAGACCGATGAAAGTGAGACCATGCGCCTGAGCTTCCTCGATGACAGTAAAGGCCATTTCGGGGTCGACACCGAACTTGGCGGAGAAAGGCTTGTCAGAACCTTTTCCAGAACAGAGAAGACGACAGAAGGGTTTGATATTAGCGAGAATAGTAGCCACCTCACAACCCTTTCGCTTAGCAACACGACCCGCTGCCTCGAGCATACGGTGCACCTGCGAAGTGCTATCAACAGCAAAATACTGAATCCCAACATCAATACCCCACTCAAGCTCATTAGTAGGAAGATTGCAATTCCCAAGTGAAATACGAGCAGGATTGATACCTTGGTCAACAAGAGGTTTGGCTTCACCCTTGGAAGCGCAATCAAAACCACATCGGAGCTGGTCGTACACGTCGGTGACGGGTTTAGCGGCGCAGGCCTTGACGGCGCCGAAGTGCACGACGTCGATGTTGGCTGTAGATGGCATGGAGGCGATAAAGTCGCGGACGGTGTCTTTGACGGTTGCGACGTCGATTACGAAGAGGGGCTTTTCGCGGTCTGAGAGGGGGAGGGCGTTGTGGTGCTTGAAGGTGGCTTGGATGCTGGGGGACATCTTGGTTGGGTAGGTTATGGGTGTTGAGGGAGCCATGATGGGCAGTAAGATGGGATGAAAGGTAGATTGATCTTTGATGAAGAGTAGTATTGGGAGGTTCTTGATGGTGAAAGTGAGGTAGTGTTGATCGGGTTCTCGGATGGAGGTTGTTGATAAGATGTTTGAACCGAAGAGTTTCAGTCCAGGATCAAAACATTATATATGGAGTGGAACATCTGTTCATTCTCTTCTTCAATGGCACTGGCAGGTCTTTTGTTCCAGTGGCACTTCATCTTGTTCGCTGCCTCTGGCTCAAAGGGTATTCCCGAACGCGTCCTGGCAGTGTCAACACAGACTGTTCGGTCTACCACGCCCAGGCCCCTACCTCCATGTGTTCGAAACCTGTTCTCAGCTCAATGGTTGTCACTTCTTTTATTCTGACCTCATTTCCATCCAACAGCTGCTTGCAGTCATTTCCCCTTTGATTACTTGATTTCACATTGCGCAGTAAGAGTTGAGCAGAGCAAGAAGTCAAGGTAGTCGTTTCCATTCTTTGGGTCATTTGTTCTTTCCTACGGGCCCTTTACGGCCTGCACTCACCCTTAAACTTACATGCACAATCCCATTGTTGAGAACCAGCAACGGTTCCGATTCCACGACAGAACATTGAGTATGTTCATATACCTGGCAAGAAAACACTAAATTATAAGTATCAAAGACATAACGCAAGGCTTGGATACAGCCATCCCACACAATTGCAACTCAGCCTCATAGTACATCCTCAACGATAAAACGTCCTCTCAAGTCTAGTACTGTTGCGCTGAGAACCCGCTGCGATGGAACTCCCTAGAAGTCTCGACTCCTACAGAGACGACAATCTCATCATCCAGGACTATGACGGTATTTTTGCAGTCCCACGGCCTCTTCCAGCTCTTTCAACCGACACACTTGTCAAATGCATTTTTGACGCCTACAAGAACAGCATCAAGGTGCGCCTGATGGCTCTCACGGACATCACCCCTTGTCTCTGCGCAGTTGCTCCGATCGAGCGTATTGACGCTGGGATGGTGGCCATGGTGGTTACTTCAGAAGTGGAGTACTACAAATTGCTGCGGAGCAATCCCGAAGATGGCCAGCCACGATCAGCTGCTTTGTCAATCTTCTCAATATACAAGGACTCATTTGACTTGATCGAGAAGGCCGGGACAGTTATTCTCGCCTGGAGATTCTATGGCGTTGATGATTCCCCCTTCATGGATCGTCAGGGCAAGGTATTGCCTCTTAGAGGTAACACCCACCCAGACCTATCTTATCCATCCCTGCAGCGTCGTCGATCCTCTTCACCTCTACAAATCGAGAGCAGCGAAGCAGCTGAACTCAAAACTCTTCGACTTGAGCTAGGCCAAGCAAAAGCCGAGGCGCTTAACAACAGGATCCTCAAGGAGTACATGCAAGCGAAGTGGTTAGTAACCATTTATCACTGCGAAGACCAAGTGAGCGAGAGACAAACCACCGAGATAATCAAGAAGTGCATCGCAAAGAGATTTGCGCAGGCGCAGAAGACACGTGGAAAGCCGCAGAAGATTGTTAGGTTGGCTACGGAGAAGCACATTGATAGCATGGCGGCGGAGATCACCCATAATAAGGATGAGGAGGCGACGAGACCGCTTACAAAGTATGACTATGAGGTTTTTCTGCGGACTTTCTTCGCTGCTATTAATGCGATTCAGAAGGATGAGGTGAAGGAGAAGTAGGTGCTTGGTTTGTAGAACAGTGGGGTATGTTGTGGGATTAGATGATTGGAAAGACGGACGGCATGCGAAGAATCCTGGCGGTAAATTGCTTTGGTTGATTGGGTGGCATTTTATCAAGTAGTTAGTAGCGGATTTCCAAGGGGCTGACATGAGAAATTGTGTTTGGAGCATGGAAGAATGAACATCAGATGTTATTACTTAAGTACCGAGCTTTTGAGATAAAATAGGGCAATGTTGACAGCTGAGATGTAATGGCCTATTGCGACCGGAAAGCTCAAGCTGGCATTTGTCCCTCGAGTAGGAAGTCATCTATCTTCTTCAGCGCTTGCAAATCACCCTCCAAAGTCCCTGATAGCTCCTTGGGAACCCAGCCATTTGTATGCCCTCCACCAAAATCAATCACCCATGCATCGTTGGCTCTGACAACAAGGACATTGTCGGGCTTCGCGTCGCCCCAGGCAATGCCAGCAGCATGCAGTTGCTGGACTGTGTCGTGGACCTGCTGAGCCCAGGATTGTTTGAGCTCCCTCGGAATATCCGGTCTTGTTGCGCACAGCAAGGTCTTACGACCGCAATCGATATAGGTGAAGAGCAAGCCAAAGACCGGACCAGTGCCATCTCGTACCAGGCCAATCAGGCGTGAGATTCGAAGTGACTAGTCTAGGCGGGCGTCGTGAATGTTCTTGTATTTCTCAAGCTCGTTCATGAACGATCTCTTGTCTCCCCACCTCATGGGCTTGAAAAAGGCGCTGTTTCCGTCCTTCAAAAGAACTCTGGATGGCTTATACGATGGCGGCCCATGTCTTTTCTCTTTCTCGGGCAACAGAATATCCTTGGGGGCGAAATGAGGCCAAGGCGCGCAACTCTCTTCTGGTAGTTGGATGCCGAACACGGGGGTCATCTCGCTGCTATCAGTAGACGCAACGGCAACTAGCTGTTCCCGTCCCCTTGGATGTCATATCTGAATGTTTCAGGGAAAAGAAAGTGTTGTAGCGTCAGAGTTGAAGTGATCTCTGGCACCTCTCTAAACTTTGGCAGCAGGGGGGCGACAATCCAGTCATACAAGTCTTCGACAGTGTACCCATCCAGCTCGTGGTTATCGGCAACTTCTAGCAAGAACAAGTATTTGTTTCTCAGGGCCGCTGACTGGGCAAAGCTGTCTGCGGAGACGGAGATAATGAATTGGCGGTAGTTGCACATAACCACCAGCTCCGAGTCGGTATCATTGTTACTGAAGGTGAATTCAATTACACTCCAAGGCGGATCCATCTTCGTGGGTCGAGAGGCGTAGAGTGGTCGGGAGGTGCTGACATGAGCCCATAAGCTTCACTCAAGCTACAGCGCCAAGGGCCGGCCCGTGAAGATGGAGGCGTACTCACTGTATACTATTACGTTCGCTCTTCCAGGTAATTCACTCTTCAGGCTTAATTGGATAAGCTCGGAGTCGGAAGATTATGTTTTGCGAATGCGGGGTTCGAGGCTCCAACAATTTGGCCGACCAGCAACAGTCAGCACTAATCGCAATGCAGCTCTGACAATTCCATTTCATATCCGTAAACTCCGAACTCTTCATGAAATGACATAAAAACGCCATCTTCGTCTTGAAACAGGCGCAGTGAGCCCCATAAGCATCATTCAAACTACAACACCATGCCACCCACTGAACGCGGCTGGATAACCTTCTTCGTCGACCGCATCTACGGTTGGTGGTCCAACTTACCCGCAGAAACAAGCAGCTACACAACCACCCTCATCCAAATCCCAATCGACGATGTAAAACTCGCTGCAACTCTCTATCAACCAACTACTCCCCCCCTCGGCACAATCCTCATCCGCACATCCTACGGCATCGCACCCCTCATGGCTCTCAGCAACGCACGCATGTTTGCTTCAAGAGGCTATCAAGTTCTCCTCGCCGCCTGCAGAGGCACACACCCCTCCGACGGGCAGGAAATCGTACCCGCAGTACATGAAGCACACGATGGTCTTGCGACTGTGGCTTGGATGCGTGAACAGTCTTGGTACACTGGATCTTTCGCTACGTATGGAGGATCGTACCTTGGACATACGCAGTGGGCTATCCTTACGGATCCGCCAGAGGATATGAAAGCTGCTGTTATTAGTACTGGCCCAGTTGACTTTGGTGCTTTTACCTGGGGTACTGGGGCGATGGAAACACATATGATTGCCTGGGCCGCGTTGATGACTGCTCCGAAGCGGGGTATAACTCCTGGCCTACCGTACATCAGAAAATTGCCGAAAATCCTGCAGCCTGTTTATGATTCTCTGCCTTTGGTGGATGGTATTAAGGATCATATGCAGAATAAGGAGCCGCCTTGGTTGGAAGAATTGATCAGCCAACCTGATACATCGACTCCGTTTTGGTCGAGGGCTAATCAAAGCGCTGCACTGAAAAAGGCGAAAATTCCCATCTTGCAGTCTACAGGCTGGAACGATAGCGTTCTGCCGTTGGTTCTAGATCAGCACCGTGTCCTGGTGGAACAAGGAGCACCCGCCTTTCTAACTATTGGTCCATGGTCACATCTTGGTTCACAACAAGGCCCAACATTAGTTGAGGGCTTAAAGTTCTTCGATCACTATCTTGCCGATCGCGACGCAGCTCCTAGAACATCCCCCTGTCGAGTTTTCGTTACAGGGTTGAATGAGTGGCGAGACATGGCCAGCTGGCCGCCGCTCGCTACGTCCACGCAAGCCTTCTACTTATCCCTCGAAACCCTCAGCAAAGAACAGCCGCTTGAGAAAGTGTCAGTCTCAACTTTCAGATTCTACCCTAACGAAGCAACTCCATCGATCGGTATGCTCCGACCATTCGACGATGTCCAACCTACAAACTACAACGACACCGAACTTGCAGAACGCTCAGATGTGGCCGTATTCGATACCTCACCATTAGAGAGCAATATAGAAGTCCTCGGCAAACCATTAATTGAACTTCATCACACCACCGACAATCCACACGCGGATATTCTAGTCCGACTTAGCGAAGTCAACAGCAAGGGAAAGTCTAGACGTATAAGTGATGTCTACAGGCGTCTAGACCCTACAAGAGGCTCCGAGCCGCTGAGTCTCGCGTTGGTGGATTGCGCGCATATTTTCCGCAAGGGGAACAAGATCCGTGTGATCATCGCTGGTGGTGCGCATCCAGCGTATTTGCGGAACTTGGGAAGGGGGGAGAATCAGGCATATGGGGTGAATAGTGCGCCGGTGAGACATACGATTCACCATTCTAAAGACGCTGCGTCGAGATTGATTCTCCCTGTCACGGCTTCATATTAGCCATGCTTTGTCCGACTAGTTATGTTTGTAGGATTTGCGAAGCTGCGGGTCAAACACTGTATCTCTGCTCAAAAAGGCTACGGCTGGTCATGATACTAGACGGAAGCGTGATTCTGTATCATGAGGCTTAAAACTGTCTCCAAGCTCTCCACAAACCATATCTCTCCCCTCGGAAGTTGATTGTACATTGTGATGGAAAGGAACAAGCGAGTTGACTGCCAGCATACTACCCGGCTACACTTGCGATAGGCCTGTAGCATGTCAAAACAGCTCCGTAAGAACTAGAGCAAAAGTGTCTCATGTCTTGATTTTATCATCAGACCTTGAAGTCTCACCCCATGGGGACGGGCTTCATCCAATAGGTGCCAAATTTACACTGGTTGCCCTACGGTTACCACCAGCACACACACCAATCGGAGTCCTCATAGAGACGGGTCATTTCCGCCCTTCTGGTTCATGCTTTCATCTGTGGAATGTGCAAACCCAATGCAGCGGTATTTTAACATGTTTCTTATGGAGAAGCTTTGATGGTTCGGTCAAACAGGGACTACAAAGCGATATCCTCACCGGTAAAAGACAAAAACGAAATAGTCCGCTAACTATGGTCAATGTGAGATCTTGCGCGGGTCTTATTGTGGCATCATTCAGTTCCTGGATATCAAAACAATTAGCACTTCAAATCCTCATTTGTTCTAAAGTCTCACTGTGATGCAATCTCTACTGAGAATTTAAACGCGAAAACAAAGCAAAGCTGCTGTGTGTTTAATGAACACGACACAAGGAACAGCAACGGAGATCACAAGCAAGAATAGTTTTCTGGACACAGCACTCGTCTACACAGGGCACAGTTATCATTTCCATCAGCACATGATTTACTTTTTTATTTTAATGTTTTTTTTTGTGTTTTGTAATTTCTAGGTTATGATATACTTCCTCCACTGCCGATACCCTTTTTTTGTGTTAATGCTTTTTTTTAGTCAGGTTTTGTGTTTTTTGTGTTTTTTTGGTGTTTTCGTTTTATCGTAGCCACTTATTGTTCATGCCTGCATTTGTACCAGGTCTTCTCCGATGGCCCACCAATCTGTGTTGATGGCTGTTGTGTTTGTTTCTTTTTTTTTTGGTCGGGTTTTGTAGTTTTCATTTGTTTTTGTGTTTTTCTTTCTTTTCGTTTTTCTTGTATCAACTCGTCATTCGTGCATGTTTGATTCCTATCAGGTCGTCGCCCAAGGCTCAGCAGTCTTTGGTTCTCGATACAGTGTCGCAGTCATATGCCGATAGCATACTGGCCATTCGTATTCAGTTGAATGGTGGGTTAGGGGCTGGGTAACGAATGCCGGTCTGAAGGGCATGGAGGTACATCTCGTACTCGTACTGGCAATCATCGCATTCCTGCCACTTCAAGCGATAAGTTTCAGTCCGACGGTCAGCGCGTCGATGGAAAGGAGTGCCACGTAGTCGTGCCTCAGCGCATTTACGCTCGTCGACGGTGTTTCCGAGATACTTGCCGCAGCGTTTGCAGTGGAAGTTGATGGTAACAATGGAGCACAAGGTTGCGACAACAACGGAAGAGTGGTAGTAGTTAGGGAAGTAGAAGGTAGTTCACAGAGAGTGATAGAAGGTAGTGAAGGAAGGGGCTGTTGGTAGTAGAGTGGTTCTTGGTTGCGAAGTCTTTGGGTTTCGGTGGAAGGGTTGAGTGTTGGTTGATGGGAAGGAAAGAAGAGAAAGAGGAAGTCTGGACGCTCGGAATTGAGTATAGGGAGGACTTTCGAGATACCACTGTCAACTGAAGATGGCTATACCGCTGGTAGAGGAGATATTGAGTGCGATCATGAGATGGTCAACAGAAGCTGCCAGTGCCATACAGCTGTGGTTACCATAGAGAGGACTGAATGTTGACATGAATGTTAGTAGGGTGAGAGCACCGACCATCACTGCATGTACGGGCAAACCTCGACAGGTGAGCATGGCCTTCAGTTGCTGATGGGTGCAGTCTTCAAGGTTGCCGATGCATATATTGGCCAGTCATTGAGCAACCTTCAATAATGCTTCGCGGCTCTCCTAAGTATCATGAAAGTAGTGAAAAGGGGGTCTACTACTGGCTGCCAGATCATCTCTGTTTGATGGCACATGCCATGGACTACTACAAAGGTCAAACGACACTTACCTCTTCTACGGTCTTTTGAATAAGGTAGTTTACGATTGTTTGATCGAAAATTAATTGAGTTCACTTTCGACAAGAGAATTGCCTTCAGGATATTGTTGTGAAGATACTGGTGCGACATCAGCGAACACGGTTCCAGAAGAACAGCTGCAGCCTGCAGGTCAGTGAAACCACCATCAAATCAGTTGTTTGACAAGGTGTGTCATCATCAGTTGAAAAATGGAAGTTTGGCAAAGTTGTGTTGCCAGTCTGCAGTGATTCGCATCTTTGATACATCTTGCTTCATACTCACCACCTCTCGCGTCAGCTTTTCCGACAGTGAGCCGCGCATTGTCACAATACTTGCTGTTATTAACAGCAAAAGCTGTTAGTCTGTAACTGACCTCCCTCGTGTCGCTTCACTTCAATCACGACAATGTTGTGAGTGATCACCAGGCAAGTCAACGCCCTGCGCATCACTATCAAGCAGAAAGCCCCCTATATAAACCTCGATCGCTCCCGCAATCTTCCTTCCCCAATACAAAGTCAACTACTCTTTCAACCATTTCAAACTTATCCAACTCCAAACTCACAACAGTTTAAACACCTACCTTCAACGACATGTCTCAACCTCAACCCCAGCCCCGTCCCAAGCCGCGACCTCGACCTCCTCTGGCTCCGGATCGTTCTGACTCCCGGCCGTGGTCCTACGCCTAAGCCAAGGCCCAAGCCCTTAAGGTAATCGAGTGCCCGTGTGAGAGGCAGCATAGGCCTAGTCAGGAGGACGGTGGAGAATGCAGTGATTCTGGGAGGGAATGGCTGCGGCCTGGCCATCTTGGGACTATCCATAGTGATGAAATAGGAACGTTCTACCATTAAAGTCCCGATACTTTGAGTGCATGAATCTGTGTTTAACGATGTTCTGAAACTGGACTGATTCAGACCAAACATTCTTGATTGTGAGATACAATGACGACAAAACAGTGGTAGCGCCAACAGGAACACGGAGAGGGGATTGAGTGATTTTAAGTCTTGTTGCAGGTTGCCCTGGACAAAATGACTGATATTGCTCGAGACTAAACCGCTGTACTAGGGTCTCATCTCCTACCGTAACCTCTTCTCAAGTTTGCGGTTATCTCCTAGCGTCGGGTAAACAAGCGGGCAACACTCGTCGCTCTGATCGTGAAAAAATGCTGGAGGCGAACAGCGCCGAAGACTCCCAACCAATCAGATTGCGCCTCGATGGCTCAGTGGTAGAGCGTGTCACTAGTAATGACAAGGTCCACGGTTCGATCCCGTGTCGAGGCAAACGAGTATCACCTCGCGCATCATTTCTTTTTGCATTTCTCTACAGCTCGTGGTCACATAACTGAACTTCAATCAGAAACGGCCCCAAGACTTCAAAGACAACCTGTATTCTACATGCTACCTATCTCACCTCAGGTAATCTCGGATAACATCCTCAGGTACATCCTTGCCCAGGTAATTCGGCACCCTCTCATACATCTCCCAAGCACTCCTCTTCATAAAGTTCGTCTGCTCCCTAACCCAACCCTCAAATTCCCCTCTCTCAACCATCTCTCCCCTTTTCTCCTTCTCAACAAGCGTCTCTAGAACAGCATCAATCCTCCCCCTCAACCTGAGTAACTTCTCCTGCAAGAAAATATTACAAAACGTCGGAATATCATCATTTCCTAAATCCACACTTCGAAGTGACGTGTACTGATCATCCAAATTCGGGTCCGCAAACGCATAACTGCTCACCATGCTTAATCTCTCAGGTACATTCGTCGCGCGCAAAGCAGCATGCTCAGTGCATCCACCCTGCATGATGACAGCGCCTCCCACTCTTGGACTCTTCACTTTGACGATGGAACCGTCTCCTGTGCGTATAGCTGTTTCGCCGCCTTGCATGCTGCTTGTGTCGCTGAGCATGACGACACACACAACTGGGACTTGGTCTTTGTGCCAGGCGTCAATTGGTATATCGTCGTAGCATGACTTTTGCATCTCTTGGGGTGAGAGTGGCGCTGATGGTACTTCTGTGAGTTTGTAGACGCCGGGGAGACCTTCGGGGCCGAGTTGGATGTTTACGAGTCCGAGATCGGCTTCGCGACGTAAGAGACGGAGACCGAAGCCAGCTGCGTGATCGATGGCAGCTTGCGTCGCGGGATGCTGCCACGCTTGAAGGGTAAATTTTGCCGTCTTTTCACAATCAGTTCAATTTTAATATCGTTTCAGTGACGTTGAACTCACCTTTTCATGACCCGCGATGTAAGCTGGCGCACGATCCCATGAACGGAGATACTTGTCGAGAATCGGTTTGCTCAGCATCTCACGGCGCAACATGCGCACACCCTCTTCCGAGAAGAGTTGAAAGGGCTCCGTGACGCAGAGATCAGGCGCATTTTCTGGCTGCGGCAGACCAAGGTCCTGGAAGGTATGGCGCCGAGTAGGGGGCTGGAAGGCGAGGTGAATGGCGGGATCAAAGTCCGGGAGGTCAAGGTCGTTAAGAGCGGTGAGGGATGGAGGGGAAATGGTCGCCGGGGCCGGAGCTACCTTTGCAGACATGTCGACAAGCTGGTAAGTGGTATGTTACTGTAGTTTTGGTGATTCTGAAGCAAGATATTGACACTGCGAATTGGCAAGTCTTGGATGTCTTTGAACACCAACGACAGCATTGCAGGGCCATTTGAGCCTTTTATCATCATTACCAACCTCGTGAATGACTCTTTATCGGCGTCACTTGCTGAAGGGGGGAGGGGCGTCGTGTTAGTCTCTTCTTATAACATTTCCTATTCTGGCAATGGTATCCTGACCATCGCTGGGCTTATCATCTGACGCTTCGTGTCAGATAAGACACCAAAAATAGGCCCGGCAATTGAAACGCCACGACGTCCTTATCACGCCCGCTTCTCCACACTTACCCCACAAGCAATGGCTTCAAAAGAATCTGGATGTGGACTGAAGAATCTTGACTGTCCGAGCACGTGACATATGATGATGAAGTTACTGTCACCAATCCATCAGGATCCCATGGCGATTGCCCTATTTGATCATGTTGACAGCTGCTGACATGAAAATAAGTACATAAGCTGATTGAGTTCGCTGACTCTAGTAAGACTGGAACGTCTCAAAGAAATACGATGGCGGGAAAAGACATTTATCCGAACTTGGCAGGATCACTAGGCGGATGCGACTTGGGACAACAGCAGGGCCTTTTTTATTCTGCAGTACACTACATAGAGAGTATCTTCTCATACTGCATAGACGCCGAACGCCCAATCACTACCCAGGGGATGACACCATACTCGATGCTCATGTAGAGCATTTGCCAATGTGCAACCTGAAAAACAAGGCCCATTTCATTCCGCTGCACCCTAATCGTTTGTCCATACATCCAATCCACTCCAGGACCGCTCAGTCGTCAGTGAGGGGCTCAAGACCTTCAGGTCCATAAATGAATCTGTCAAACGATGGCGGGAATAACTGCACTGCAGTAGTAACGTTGTCCAAGAAAAACGCCACCACATTGAAGAAGCCGATAATTCGATCACAGACATTTCTGATACGTGTAAAAATCGAAGAAATGTACTGGATAATATACTGAACGACCGGAATGAGCATGACGATAATGCAAAGAATCGCAGCGTTAGCCAGGACCGCAAAGTAGACGGCCATGACGGCAAGACCCCCGAGGCAAACGCAGCTCGCAGAGGCGAAAACGAATGCAGTTCCGATGGCGATGGAATAGAAGATGATGTCGTTGATTTCATAGAGGTTATAGAGAGTGAATGAGATGATCCACAGGAGGGAGACGACGATGACCAACTTGGTGGTGCCGGGGTCGATGAGATCTGCCATGTTGACGTCGGCTGATATCGACGAAAGGGGATAATAGTGCGCAGTGGTTCTTGGTATTGGAGGTGCTGATGAGTGATGGGGGTTGCGTGAAAGTAGTGTTGTGATGGAGAGATGTGTGTTTGGAAGAGGAAGAGATAGCAAGGACTCGGGAGAAGTTGGATGAATCCTTGGAGTTTGTGAGTAGTGTTTCTGTTCTGCGTGGTTGCCTTTCAGACGCCGAGGCCATGTTGACTTGATATGTTGAATTGACACTGGCACTCGTTGGCGGTCTGAACTCCGGCGAGTAAACGGCTATGAACCCACACTGCCATGATTGGCATGTTCGGCTACAAATCGCGTGTCGCTACCACTGGTAGAATGATACCGTTATAGCGAGAGTCGATTCTTTTATCCACGCTGTGTATAACTACTAGAGAGTCTCACTCGGCTTGGAGTAAGGACGACACAGGAGCTCGGAAACAGATGGGCTCGTCTCTCAATGCACTATTCCTAGTATATTGTACACAACTCTCATCATGTTTACTGACACTAAAAGAACAGCTGACCTGTTCAGACTGAACGATATTCCTCCCTTAACACTATGTACAGACCTCTGACCAGGTACAGCAACTTCTATTTCTGTTACGCATTCTCACTCCGCACAAGAAGGATCGTGGTTTACGATTCACTCATAGCAGACAAGCCACAGTGCCAAGACCATTTCCCAGCAACTATCCGCGAAAGCCCAAGGTATTCTGAGATCCTGCAATCCATACTACATTACCGGAAAGAAACTCTCCCCTAGCATGTTCTCGTCCTTCAATACGAGGAATCAGAAGTTCGGCATGAACAATTTTACGGACCCAATAACCGAGCACCTCACGGTTGTAAGAAACTATGGCTTTTCTGGCAAGGCTCTTTACTTTAAGTCGATATTCCTCCTTCCAAGGCGTTTGTGTAAATGTCGATCCCCCATGATTTTCATCACAATATGGGGAGGAGGATCCGTCACCCATTATCATTCTAAACTCTTTTTCCTCGACTCGAAAGTAACCATTGCCGTAAGGCAGGGTTTTGGCTTTGACGTAGAATTCGATGCAGCCGGTTTTCTCGCAGTCGTGAGTATCATCAATTTCTTCAGACTAATTAGCATGTTGAAGAACAAGGACGGTAGGGAATGTACTGTGCTGACGGCCAAGCAGGATTGTAATGTCAGGCGGCTTATACTTGAAGGTCGGTCGGCCAACATTTGAGTTGATGGCGTTGATTTGATCCAAGATACTGACTTTATACAGACTCTCCGGGGCGACCTCCCCAAGAGCTTGTAGTAGCAAGTTGAATTGGTCGCGAGCCATTTGAGGCAAGTCGTCCAAATCAGCGATAGGTTGATGAGGCAAAGCTGGGGTAGTCTGCACACAGTTGCTGGATGAGACTTCATCGTCGCTCTTGTCGTCGTCAGACTTGATCCTCTTCGCTTCATGATCCAGCTCGGATCCTCGACGTTTGGTGCCCATGGTGGAAGGAATTCAAAGACAGTAGTAAGATCAAGAGCAAATGTAGATGTTGATGATGAGATGGAAGACAAGAGAGGGAAGTGTAAAGGTTGAAGAAGATGGAAGCAATTTATACAATTTTTCATTTGACCTGCTGTATTGAATATGAGATGGGATCTGTTAATGATGGTGCTAAACAAAGCCGAAGTCCAACATGCAGATTGACAAACTTTGGAGCCTAGAATGCGTATTGACAAAGCTGCCATTGACGCATGACTTACATTTCATTCAATTATGTATAAGACACCTCTTGCGCTGTTACTTCAGAGGATATCAATTCACGTACCCATTCATTTTTCATGCAAGTTGACTGTTACGTTGCGCGTCTTGCATTCCCAGCTTCTTTGACGCAAACAATTACACAAAGCAAACATATTCAATTGCACGCCTACCGGAGGATTCAGAACACAGGATAACAGGAATTTAATTCAATCTATCATAAGGAGCTACGAACGGAAGTATTGAATTATGGAGATTAACAAAAGGAAGGGAAATGCGTAGAATGAGAAATCCAATAGCCGGTCCGACACCCACAAGTGAGACTCAAGACTCAGTTGAAACATCCAATGAAGTTCAAAAAGTACTACCCCCCGGAAGCACAGCACGATCATGCAAAGAACCTTGGTGGAAACAGCCCCGAAGATACACTCCACTCTCCAGAAACAAGAATAGCAGATATACTTTACCAGGGTCATAAGAGCGTAGATGGAGACATACAATGCCAATGCCTTGTCGCAGTACCAAAGGCTTTTGATCCCAACTGTGTTGCTCAAGAAAGCAACCTTTTTGGTGTACAATAGTAGGTCCAGATATAAGCTTGCCTGTACAGCTAGTCTGTTTCGTCGTCTCAAAGAGAGCACGTGTGATCTTGTTCGCTTTTCATAAGCTGCCATGAGGCGCGGCGTTAGGTTGACAGTTTCGATACAGCGTTGGACAGTAGTGAATTATGCAAGATCCTGCTTAAACTCCCGATCGCTCTGGGGAAGAACACTGCATATTTTGGCCATTTCTGCTTTGAGGGCTGTGGTAAGCAGCTGCCAGTCATCGGTTTCCCTGTTTCTCCAGCTTTTGGGAAGAAGGAAGGATAGAGATGTGAGGGCGTACCAGATCAAGAAGAAGGCAGGGTTGGGAAGACGAGATGGTGGAGTAGTTCGTTTCCCCAAGATTTTGAAACGGGAGTTGCTAGACATGTTGGTGTTGCTGGTTGAATTGGATTCAGGGTTGTGCTGATGTGTCGTTAGGTAAATACTGCAAAAGGATATTTGTAAAGTTGGAGAGAAACGATGAGAGGTGAGAAATTAAGGTATTTATTAATAAAATAGAACATGCAAATCGGTTTGTTCGCAGACGAGATAAAAGGCAAGTACATAACATTAAAAAGTGATCAAGAGCAAAGTTCAGACGAACTAGAAAGCGAACTATAACAATACAGTTTCAGAACCAAACAACAAAGAATAAACAGCTGTACTCTTGAATAGCACCGAACAAAAGACCCTCAGGAAACCTCTTCGCACCATACACTAACTGTCTCCCAAATCTGAACCTCTGAAACGGCCTCCTGCCGCAAACCTCAAGGCTTCGCGCTGTTTGTCTCTAGATGGGAAGCTAATATCAAAGTCGCGTCCTCCATTGCTCCAACCAATTTGCCGCCATAGTCCCCCCATGTTGCTTCGCGCAGTCTCGCTGTCCTGAATCCCCAGGGCAATCGAGATCAAGGCCGACATGTCAAGAGTGTCGACAGAAGTTTCAGGTAGATCAGGAAATGTCTTTGCCACGTACTCCTGTCCTTCGCTTCCATAAAGCCTCCAAATCAGACGTTTGAGGAGTACCTGAAAGGCCTCAAGCTCCTCATTACGACGCTGAACTTCTCCCCTCAAATGATGTAAAGATAACCGTGCCCACGATAGCCTCGTCTCATTGTTGGTGTGTTTTTCAGCCGTAAGATTGAGTTTCTGGAGGACGACAGAAAGCTGGAGATCCAATTCAGAGACTTTTTTGAGTGACAGGAACGTGATGGTGAGGTGATGTTCCAGGTTCTGGAGAGCCTCTGGTAGGTTCATGGTGACAAGTTTAGTTCTCAGATAACTGTCCTCTGCGGTTATTGATGAGTCTGAGGTATATTTCCAGTGGCTTCTCTTCTGCTTGACAAGTGGCACGAGATACCAAAATGTAAAATCGCTCGGCTCTCTCTGTTCATGCCAATCCATGGTCAAGTTCTCTATGCAAGATCTTAAGACCGCTCGGATATGTGGCTCAAGGTTATCCCCCATAGCTCTTGCCAGATGCTCAATTCGATAAGATGCATCTTGAATTGCGTTTCTAAGGTCCTTCAAACGAGAGATGAGATCATGAGCGTCTCTCTCTGTTGCCTTTTCGTATTCTTTAAGCCCCGCGTCACACACAGCTTTGTTCAGCCTATTCTTACTGAACAAGGGCATCCCTGCTTCTTCGTCCTTATGCAAGCAGGCCAGTGCCCATCGCTCAGGAACAGCGATCATAGACGACAAATTTCCTTTGTAGTCCTCAAGAGTTTCCGTTATATCCGCCAAGATGCCAGGCATTGAATTGACAGTATTGGCAACTTCAACCACAGGGCGGTGGATGGGAAATGTTGGGCTGTGCGAGAAGCTGGACGATGGGAAAAAGCGCCTCCATTGTGGGATGATAAGAAGAATTGCAAGCATGGCCAGGATAGCTTGCTTCCAGTTGAAAGTCATGCTTCGGCTGTCCTGTCGCTGACCAGGCCCACGGTTGTCGCTGCCTCGTGGCAAATTCGAGGGACCTTGGCCATCGAGATCAGGCTTATGATAATCCTCGGAGTACAAGTCCCTCTTAGCAAGAGCTCGAGACAATCCATGGACGGGGATAATAGAGTCATCAAATGTGACAATCTGGTTATCCTGGAAGCGTAATGAAATTGGCGCCTCAATCTGCCAGAGGCGATGAAAATAAAGCCGGATACACTGGAGCGTCTGGGGAGTGACACCCACGACAACTTCGAAGAGGGTGTATTCAGGCTGGTCAGGGTACATATCCTCATCTGGTGGTGGCCCAGGACTCAAATCATCGCTACCAGAAGATGATGCTTGAGAAGGAGATCCTGATGGTGAAGGGGACTCGAAAGCCTGAGTATAACGATTTTGAACGACCATGGTGATGATGCTGTCTGGAATATGAAGATGGTTGTCTCAGTATTGATTGATTGACTGGTTAATGAGTGCGCTGAAAGAGTAAGAAAGTCGTGATGAGCGAAGCAGAGACAAAGACAGGATGGTCACCTGGATACCAAAATGGCGGTTCAGAGTAACCCTGCATTGAGCGCTGGACTCTCGGGCCAATGCAGATTATGTTTGTCAATCTGAGCAAATAGAATCACCATTTGAGTGATTGTGGCGTGGACAATAGGAACAGAAGGGGCTGACAATAGAGCTGTGACGCTGCGCTAAGATAAGTCGGATCTAGTCGAGCACCAGCAATCACACGAGCGCTGGCTTTGTTGACCAAAGGGCCGAAGATGAAGAAGTAGAAAGCAATCAAGAAAAGAGAGAGAAATTGTTCTGACGCTTGGAATGCGATGAGAGAAGCTACTGTGAGAGAAAACAATTACTACAGTCGCAGTGATGAGCGGCTGCTGTTCTCGACGATTGTCCTACCCTACGTCATTTAACGTGCGGCCAACCCGACCACGCTCACTCACTTGCGACAGCCATAATGTGAAAATCTTAATGATAAGGACAACCGAATAATAGCTCAGCTACCGGCATATTTACTAATCGCGTTTTGATCGCTCAGCATCAAATCAATCCAGATAAGCGTCTAGCCACCGTAGACAATCGTTCCGTATCAATACCTCTAGGCAAACGCTGAGCCGCGCTTGGTGACAAACTTCAACTCTGCTCGCGATCGAAGGCCATGTCGAAGTTAGCTTCTTGTACATAACTGGCAAAAGTAAAAGGTCTCTTCTTCTACTACCTGTCAATAAGGGCAAAAAAACATACAACAGCGGGGATTCGCTGGTCGTCACCGACCCAACTANNAGGTATGGTCGTATGTGCTTGGATAGACACACAGAACAGTGTATAGGCATGCAATCTTCACAGATTATCCGAACACAGTCCTGTCACAGCTTTGTTTCCACATTGCGCAGAGAGGTGTTGCTAATCTCCTCAACGTTCGTCGTATTAGCGCTAGCGGGACAAGTATTAAATCTCAATAGTTTTACAGTAAGATAGGTAGACGAAAAACGCCGGTGCTGTCACTTTACTCGTTCGTCGCTGCAGCCAGTCCTTATCAATGCCAAGTCAGAATATGCAAACAACTCTCCAAGGAGGAATAAGAAAGATATCCCAACCATCGATAGTAGCTATCACTAACCATTCTCAAATAATACACACTGTCTCCCTCTTCCTCTCCCAATTCCCCTCTCTATCAAACACCACTGGTCCCAACAGCTCCTTTTCGCGCGCTTCCCTATTCTCATCATGAAGATCAAATGTAAATGTTCCAATTCGACGGAAAGTCTGAGACAGATCACAAAAGCCTTCGGATGTCAATAGATCCTCCTCTCCGGCGTCATGAGGCATAATGATTAAGCCTTCGTAGCTCTCCCAGACAGCCTGTTCATAGCGATCCGTTTGACACCAACCCAATTGCAGAGGAACGCAATAAACCTGAACCCACTGCGATACAGGGATCTCATCAGGGAGATCGATGGTACAAGAATTGGCGAATTTTTCTAACCCTCGGATATCTCCTGTACGGCCTTCGGATATCTTCTTATGCTCACCGGAGGAGATAATAACATATGCGTCATCCCCTTGATCATTCGCTGAGTCTTCCGATAGTGGCATCTTCATCAAGTAGCACTCCCTCAAATGGCACTCCATCTCAATAAGCCCCGACTTAATCTGCCCCGTCGTCGAAAGCGAGTACCCAGTCTGCGGTTCAACACAAACATCCACGATCCTCGCAAGTTCCGTTTTCTTTCCGTTCCAAATCCACGGTATGTATTGCTCAAAAAAGTCCACTTCACCGTCTAACGAAGCCCAGCTCCACGACGGAGCGCGATAGTAATCTGGTCGTGTCGGTGATGATCCATCCTTGGGACGCCATAGGAGACTCTGCTGGAAACTATCATCGCGCCAGAGACCAGCGACGTATTCTAGCTCTAGCGTACTGTTGTCTGATCCACGTCTCGCTTCAGTGATTCTTTCGACAATGCCTTGTAGCGCAACGAGCATGTCAGAACTAAAAGTCAGTCGAGCTTTGGTATATCTACTAATAAAGTCATTCCAAAACTCCGACGGTTCTTCCTCCAACTTCGAAGCCCTCATGAGTTTTTGGCGAAGATACGACAGACTTGCACTCTCGTTCACCACAGAGCTAAACTTTGGATCTAATCCAATCGGGAATGTTTCACTCGCTTCTGTAGTCGCACACGACCAGACCATTTGTTTCGATCCAAAGACCAATTTCCGCGGTGATATCAAAAGTTCCTGCAACGCCCACGCTCGACGGCTCAAAGGACTCTCGTTTATGGTATCGAATAGTAGACGTTCAGGTTGGTGGGGGTATATAGCCCATGGGTAACTTACTCGGTGGTAAACCGAGCTTTGGATGATGTTGGTGACGCATGGTCTTACTGCGCGGGGATCGCGACGGCAGATTATTGAGTTTTGTACGCTAGATGTACCAGCTGCTGCGAGGGTTAGAGCTGCTGAACCGTAGATGCTTCCCATCTGAGCGGACTCTTTGATCCAGTCGGATTTGGAGTCTTGAATAATGCAGAGCGCATCAACCCAGAGATATTCATAGCCGAGATCTCGCGTTATGGTGATCGCATTGCGGAGGGTGTTTGGTAAGCTCGAGAGAGGGATCTCGTTTTTGAACAGATTGAGGGTTGCTTCAGTGAGAGTGACGGTGTTGTCGGTTCCCCAGCAGTAGCTTAGCGCAATGTAAGGTACTACCTCTGATGGACTGACCAGTCGAGGTTGTTGGGTTTTTGCCCCGACGTGGATAAGTCTCGTCGGCCGCCAATTTGACTGTTGCGGTTGAAACTCT